AATTAAAGTTCAAAATGGAATTTGGTTGAAGGCGTTAATTTGCAAGTCAATATATCAAAAACTAAAGTGATTTGCCTCGGCGGCGATAGAGGTAATTTTTGCTCGCAGTCGCGCCATAAATTTAGTAGTAAAAACCCTAATTGAGTTGGAAATGTTCCCAACCTGGACTAAAAAAACCGAAGCGCTAACTTGCGGTGCCCAATTTTCAGTGCATCGTCACTGAAAGCAAGGAAAGATACTGAATCGCACTAGTCTGGTTTGACTTTATCACACAAATATCACCAAAGAGCACAAGTCACTAAACGTCTCTCATCTATGAAGATACCCATACCAGAATCTCTCTTTAATTAAAATGAAAATAATTTGGCGCAATCCTTATCCTTAGGCTACTGGAGGTTTAGTTTTATTCTAACTAAATTATATTTTGTTAAAGGTTTTATTTAGTTCTGCACATCCGGCTTGGTTTGTTTGTTGACCATTTCAAATCATAAGACGTCTACGGGGAATTGTTCCTCTTGAATTTTCAATCATGCACGTGCATGCGAAATAATAATTGGAGGAGAAAATTAAAAGAACAAATCTCCAGAGAACGTCCGTGATCTGAGACAGGCAATCAACATACAAAGCTGAACGAGCCTTGAACTAATTAATTTGTGAAAAAAAAATATATAGTAAACTTAGGGAATGCTTAAAAACTAAGTATAGACTAGGAAGCGCTTCTTATAATAGCGAAACGGAAAAAATACCTAAAGCTCCTCTATTTGTTAATTATTTATGCGATTTGCATCGGCTTCAAACCCTAGTTTGGTTATAAATTTTTAATTAACGCGATAAAGTCCTTTTATCCTATGCTAATTATTCCTAGAATGTTCCAGGCACAGAATTATCTGTGACAGGACCATTGCTTGACGAGCCTACGAACGGCTACGTGGAGGCTATCAAAAGTAACATCTATATTGTAAAATTATATTAATGTAACCTATACAGCCATCTTTTTATGCTAACACTAATCCCTTATTTATTATTTTTTTAAGGAAAGCTAAATAAGTTTTAGTCACTAAAGAATTAAGAAAATCTTAAAACTAACACTTTTCCAAATGAGAAAATGCTGCTTTAATCAAAAAGTAATTACGTTTTGCCTGTTCATCAATAAATGGAGTTTTTATGATCATGCTCTTACCCTGTTAAATGAAAAAAAATATACTACACTATACTACCCCTAAAATTAAAGTATAAATAGCATAGTAATTTCATTATGAAAAGATTCTCCTTAAGTAAAAAAAATAATTTTTTGTTTATAGTTAGGCATAATTTTCCTGAAATAGCAATAAAGATAATTTTTATCAAAGCTAATGCTATTATTTTCCCCAATAAATATGCTACTTTTATTAAAAGTGAATAAATTTACCCTATTCCTGAAAAGGCCTAGCTTTTATAACTTTTAGTAACTGTATAATTATGTGAAAAAAATGCTGATCCTAAAATAAGAGTATCTATGGTAATGTGGTTTTATAGTGAGAAAATGCTACTTAATTAAAAAAAAATTGGTTTAAAAAAATTGTTTATCTATGTTTATGCTTATGGTTAATATTTTGTGTTATATTTTTGTAATAATTAAATGAAAAACTAAAGAAGAGAGATTCTGGATTCAGTATCAACCCATCAGAGAGACCCCTAGTAACTATTTGCTCAATTTGATGTCATTTTTGTGAGTCTGGTCAAGCCAGACCAGAGAAATCCAGCAAAACTCCGCACTTCCAATGTAAATGCACCTAAATTGACTCTTACAATTCAGCACAACTGTTTCAATGATCCTTAGTTGTGGAACATTTCAAGAGATAAATTGAATGCAAAAAAAGCACCTTCTGAGGCCAAAATGTGTCAAATTGTCGGTGTGGTTCCATGACAAATTGGTCGAAACTCCAAAGACAAAAGAGAAAACTCTCACCTTCCTCTACACTGTCCTCCCTGCTCGAGAGCAAGTGGTCAACTCTTCCAAGTGTTCAACTGTCCCCAGCTTGAACTTCAGGATCAGACAAAGCATCACAGGATTTCCCAGTTGGAATATTTCAGAGGACATCAAAAACACACCTTCTTAGAACAGACAGAGCTTCCACAACCCAGCAGGGATGTGATTGGCTAAATTTTTTTTCTTTGTTCTTGCTTCTAAGTGTGTGTGCCACCACCAATCTGAAATTAAATAATATCCTGAAAACTTAAGTAGATATGCAAGCTCATTACCACTGTAGATGACCTAGCAAAATTAACATAATGATGGTAATAGTAAATTACATCTCTTGATAAAGCAAGTTCATGGCACAAATTTAAATGAACCTAATTACTTTAAGATCAAGCTTGCAATACCAAGCTTAGAAAAACTAATGCCTTTCCAACTAAGTTCTGAAAAAAACGTAGAATCCTACAAGAGACCCTAGAAGATATCATGACTTGCAAAACCGAAAAGTAGCTAAGGAGCAAAAAGAAATTAAAGTAAATGGAAATTTAGCCTACTGTGTTTACCTTAAGCAGAAAAGATATCTTCAGTGAGGCTTAATATTGCATAGTATAGCTAGTCATACTTACATGAAATCATCAAGAATTTGCTCTTTGCATGAAATGAAATTCAATCTAACTTGGCAATAAATTTAAATGAAACCTTCTTAACTGTGGAAAAGCTATCTGCTTAAACAATGTGGCCATCAGCCACATATTCAGCCTAGAGGACAAAATGGTGAGCTAATGAAAAGCAAACTAAAAATACTCCTAAAGTTAGGTTGTGGTAATGAGCTTGCTGATGTACTCAATGTAGTAATACTACCACAAACATCATGCCAACCTAAAACCAGGAATCCTGAAACATTGTAAAACTCTGGAAACCCTTAGGCCAGGAAATACTAGAATGACATGTTTCCCGTAAATTCCTACCACAAATACCAACCCAACTAACCTTAAATTCAAAATGTAGAAGTCTATGACCCTATTCTTTCCCCAGAAAGTGCATAAAACATCTAGAGACCACTATATCCCAGAAACGTAAAACTGTGAAGCCCAGGACCCAGAAATCCAGAACCCAGAGACCTTTAACTCTTATACTTACTGTGAAATGGTAGGAATATGCTAAGGACTTTGAAATCTGAGACCCTGAAACCTTAAACCAAAATCTAGGACTGTAACACTCAGAACTTAATGCACTTATAACCAGGACCCAGAAATATACCTAAGACCTAGAAATCTGAGATCTAGAAAAAACTATCACCCCTGGACTTAAAACTGGTTAAACCTCAGCCCTAGAGATCCTGAACCCACAAAAAAGACCCAAAAATATAACTTTGACTAGGAAATCCAAGATTCAGAAACCTGAGGCCCAAAAACCCAAGACTTAAAAAACCTTGGTCCCTGAAAAACTTGAGAACTGGAAAACCTAAGAAAAAAAGAACCAATGACCCAACAAACTTAGATCTGGAAAACCTGATGTACCTTGGGAGAAGAAAAACTTTAGTGTGGAAACCTTAGACCCAGAAATATTTTAAAAAAATTGTGTCAGCATGATGTTGGTAATATTAACTATCATTAATATTAAGATATTACCAATCTTTAATTGTTTGGAAAGCCTCCATTTGAGCAATGAGGTATGTCTTGGAGCTATTTGTAGCTCCGTATGGCTCTGTAAAAAATCTTTGAAATTTTGTATCCAATTCCTCCATTCCAAATGCCTAACCCTAACCCTAACCCTAACCCTAACCTGAGTCATAATATGTCTGTAGTTACCAATATCCTATTGTAGCTTCAATCATATGCTGAAACTAGACTAAAAATCCTTAGACCCAAAAGACCTTTGATACAAAACCTATTAAAGACCCAAAAGTTTCACACCCAAAAGACCTGCAACCTAAAAAGCCCTGGGCTTAAAAACCCAAACATCTAAGAGACTTGAACCTAAACAAAATCTTAGACCAAAAAGACCAGAAAATGACCAAGAAATCTCCTTGCCTTAATCTCCTTAAATTTTTTGGATTTGAAATTAAAATTGTCTTCTCCTTGAGGTGACAATCCTTGCCTTAAAACTTAAGCTCCCACAATTTAAATGTGAAAACAGCCACCTCTATCTCCTTAATGTGCACTTGCTTCAATTTTTATCTGTCACACACCTATGACAGTCACTGTGAAATTAAATTGGTAGATAAATGATGTTCAACAATGCCTTAGAACAAGAAAACTGAAATTGAATCTGTTGCAGTCTTAGAATATCATGTAAACTCTAAACAGAAAAAAAAAATCAATCACAGTCTAGCTAGTAGGAATTTTGACAACTAAATCTAACATTAACCTCCCCAAAATTTGTTCAAACAAGTGCAAAAGCTAGGGCATGCAGGCATTAAAGAAATTCCTAAGTAGTTCTATCTCACTTACTGTTTTTCTTTTAAATCATATTATGATAATAAAGACCCACAGTAAGGAGCAAAAACCTAAACTTAGCACCTAGAAAAATAGTAAAGACCAGAAATCCCACACCCAGAAAGGATTCAGAAAACCTAAGACTTGGAAATCTGCAACAAGAAGAACCTAACACCCCTCAATCTACAACCCCAACTATCTTTGATCCAACAAACCTAAAATACACAAAGCTAGGAACAAAAACCTTAAGATTGAAAAAACCTGAGACCCAAAAAGCCTGACCCAAAAGACCTTGAACCCTGAAATGCCTAAGGGTTGAAAAGCCTAAGATACCAGAGAACAAAGACTGAAAAAAACAGAGATCCCAAAAAGCCTGACCCAAGATCTTAGAACCTTAGGGACTGAAGACTGAAAAATCCTACAACCCAAAAAGCCTGACCCGAAAGACCTTAGACCCTTAAATACCCAGGGCCTGAAAGCCCAAGACCACAAAAACCCGGAACCAAAAAGCCAAAGTACCTTGAACCTGAAACCCTTAAAACTTGAGAGGCAAAAACTTGAAGGACCCCGATATATCTGAGACCTGAAAAATGTACAACTGAAAACATTTATGACTAAAAAACTTGAGACCAGAAAATCCTAATAAGCAAAAAAAAAAGAAAAGAAACCAAGACCCATAAACCTAAGCCCATTAAACCTGAACCCAAACAATTCTAAGAACCAAGAGCTTACCACCCAAAAAAAAAACCCAAGACCCTGAAAATGGTTTGACCCAGAAACCTATTGACCTGAGATTTAATAAAAACCAAGTCCCAAATACCTAGCCCATTAAACCTGAACCCAAAGAAATCTAAGACCCAAAAAACCCACCACTCAGAAAACCCAGTACCCAAATATCCCATGACCCAGAGAGACCTTTAAACCTAAGCCATCAACCCTGAGCCCCCAAAAACCTAAAAACCTAAAAACTCACCATGACCTAAAAAACCCAAAACCTGAAAATCCTATGACCCAGAAACCAAAGCTCTTAGAGTGGACATTCAATAAAAATCTACTAAGGCAGTTTAACCAAAACTCAAAATAACCGAATGCCCAAAAAACTTACCACCGAAAAAACCCAGGACCTGAAAATCCTGTGACCCAGAAACCCAAGCTCTAAGACCTGAGATTCAATAAAAACTGAGACCCAAAAACCTAAGCCCTGGAACCTGAGACCCCAAAAGCACTTGTTTGAACAACTGGGGCACACACACTTTCCCATTATTATGAACTACATGTGTAGGAAAAAAAGAACTTAATGAGTGGGGGTGGTGGAACAACAGCTGGGTGAAAAACCTCCCCATATGTCCACTTACACCTAGAAGGAAAACCCTGGGCCAGCTGCACCCCACATTCAATGACCTTCCAGGCTGGGCTTAAAATATAATCTAGCATTAATGGAAATAATTATGATAACTAATCCTGTACTTGCTTCCAGGGTGAATTGTCAAGGTTCTTCTACCAGGATGGGTCCATGTTCTTGCTAGTATTGTGCTGTCCAGTTGTGATGCTTTCATTTGGCAGATCTGTGAAACAATTATCAGAACAATAAGATTAAAATAATTCTATTCAGGATAATTCATTCATATTAATAATAGTTGCTGCTCTCTATCTTTTCTTTTTTTAAGTAAAATGACAATGTGCAAATGAGCCGAAAACAACACTCTACTGGTGCTTATTCTACTTCCTTTAACCTGAAGCAACTGATATTATTGCAACTCTTCTTAAATGGGACACTCATTCATCACAGTTTCTCATTACTTTGAGAGTCAAGAATCCCTGCCAGCACTGAAAACCAGACATTTTTTCCCAGAAATCAGAAGATTAACATCACTCAACAAAAACAAAAGCCCTAAACATGACTTTCAGAAGGTTTTCAACAGTGATCTAAACCAGATGAAGCCAATTGACCATAGGAATCTACTGGTTACACAACAGCCAATAGCCATGGGGGGCAAAAGAAATTAATTCACCCATAATCTCTCTTGAATCCAACAACCACAAATTAATATAAAAAAGCTTCATCAAATTCTTAAGCTTTAAGAACTGATGTGTAAGATCAGTAAATCTGTTTTGACTACAACTTTTTCCAGATAAAAATGAGTGGAAATTGATGTGATTTTGAAGCACCAAAACTACAATATAATCACATCTCTTTGCCAATGAAAATCAAATGTAGCCCCAGAATAAATGCTGCATCAGAAACACTTAAAATCTAGTAAATGCCACAAACTTTAATCAGGTCAATACAATATGCAGACTGCAATAAGGTGTATGTTTGTTTTGCAGGAGAAGCATGACAAGTCACCAACATGTCATGTTTGTTTGTTTGATCTCAAAGGACAGGCAAAGCTAGCAGAAATATTTAATCTAAATTATACCTGTTGCATCGTATCTATAGCTTTCAACTCTCTGGTTCACCACTTTCTTATCCAGCCTTATCCAGTAACCACTCTCATCCACGATCCAGGATTCACCACTGTCAGTAAAAAATTTGTCCACAGCTTTGTTCCAGGGCTTGTCCACAGGCTACCAACCAAGGCTTGTCCATTGGCTACCAACCAAGGCTTGTCCACAGGCTACCAATCAAGGCTTGTTCACAGGCTACCAACCAAGGCTTGTCCAGGAAAGGAAGTGAGAGTTTGCTCCTCAAGCCTCTGTGGTATCTCCAAATTTGTTGCAATACCACACCTGATCAATTTGGAATTAATGAGTGAAGAAAAAAATTAAAATGCCAAATGAAATTTGATTAAAGGTGCTGATCTGCAGGTCAGTGTATCCAAAGCTAAATATATTTTCCTTGTGACAAAAGAAAAAAATTAAGTTCCCCTCTTCTGTATAAAAGAATGATTAAAAAACCTATTTGAGTTTGAAATGTTCCCGACATGGACAAAAAAACTGAAGCGCTATGGTTTTACCTTGAGCAGCACAGCTGTCTTCATGAAAACTCTGTAATTATAACAAAACGAGGTCAGTCATACTCGTGTGAAATAATCAAGGATTTTCTTAACAATTGAAATGAAATGAAATGAAACCTGGCAATAGGTTAAATTCCAAGCTTCCATACTACGCAAACTCAATCTGTTTAAAAGTCTAAATGCATCCAGTACCTCCTCAAAAGAACAATAACATTAAAATAGGAAACAATAGCAACACCAAACATACCCTGAGACCCTTCTACACAAAAGCTTCAATCTGGGAAACCTAACCCATACCCCAAAATAAATAACCAGAAAAATATGAACTTGAAGGCTCCTAGGCCCCAAAACTAGGTCCCCCAAACCCCAAATCCACAGAAATAACTGAGACCTGCCAGCCTGGAGCTGACATAATGGCCCCCTAAACTTGAGATCCAGAAAACTTAATGCTCCTTAACCCTAAAACCAGGAAAGCCCAAGACCCAAAAATTTAAAAACCAAAAAGTAGGGTGTAGAAGACCTTAACCAAAAACCTAGAATTTCTAGAATCAAAGACCCAAAATTTTATCCAATACCATTGAACCAGAGCCTAAGACCCAAAAACCTGTTGGTAATACCTTGAAAACCAAACCCCAGAACATATTAAGAACCAGAGGGCCTAAAACACTGAAAACCAAAACTCTCCAACTTTAGATCTGGGAAAATGTGGAGCACACACAAACACAGTAGGAAAACCTGCCTGGAAAACTGAGACCCAGAAATAAAAGACCCTGTCAGCATGATATTGGTAATATTACCTATGAATAATACTTTAGATATTCCTAATTTGTAATAATTTCTGAAAGCCTTCATATGGGCATTGTAATATATCCTTGTTTAAGGATACATGTAGATCAAGTGAAAATAGCTAGTTCAATACTAGTGGTAATAAAATTGAATTTGGTAATGAATGGTGTTCAATGATGCAAGACCTAGAATTCAAAGAGCATTCTATTCCAAAGTGTTGTAATTTTGCCAAGCAACTTTGCTAAGACCCAGCAACTTAGGACTGAAAGGGATAATAGGCAAAAATTAAACACTCAAAAACCTAAGACTGAAATATCTCCCACCTGAAAAACCAAAGTTGTGTGGCAGTGGATCAAACAAGTTTTCTTTTGTTCAGAAAAGCACAGGATTATTCTTGTCTGCTAAAGTGCTTGATACTGATCAATCCAGCTGCCAATGAACTATACCACCAGGTATACTTTGCCATTTCCAAGTCAAATTTACAGAAATGCAAATCAGTAATATAGAAAATAATAGTCAATTTAGTATTACAGCATTCATCTTATCTTTTTTTTTTGTTTCCATGGTCTTTGATCTTTAGATTCATTCTTTTACTGACAGTTTTCTTTTCTGCTTGTTTTGCATTTTTCCTTAAATTTATGGGTACACATCATCGGTTACTTAAAATAATATCCTGCATTCATCAAATTTCTGTTTACAAAATCATCATCATCTTATCTTTTTTTTTTTATTTCCATGGTCTTTGATTTTTAGATTCATTCTTTTACTGACAGTTTTCTTTTTCTGCTTGTTTTGCATTTTTACTTAAATTTATGCGTACACATCATCAGTTACTTAAAATAATTTTCATACAACTTTGTGCCGAACAGAATTCATCAAATAATTTTGGACAAATAAAACACCAGCAGTTCTTCTCAACTGCTAGTCAGTAAGTAAAATTTAAAATCAAAGTTGTCAACAGCACACTTGTCGATAACAAACATAAATCAAATACAGAACTATTTAGCAAAGATGTTAAGTTTGCATAAAAATTGCTTAACTGAGGCTTGACGAAAAAAGCCATTGAACACTTAGAGTCTAACCTTTTATCAAAAAAAAAGCTGCATTTGCTCTGAAAAATGAGGATGACCATGGTCAAATGGTTTCTGGTTAGCCAGAAAATGAGCAAGTTAGTGACTTTTCATGATTTTTATGAAGCAATCAGCAGCTCAATGATCATTTACAATCTTGTGTTCAACCCATGCCATGAGAACAGTTAGAAATCACTGGCTGATTGATTTCCTTCAATTGTATAAATTACCTCTGCAGACAAGAATGCTCCTGAGATTTTTCCAATAAATTAAACTCACACTCAACTCACATGCAATTACAAAAACTGTGTCCTGTATTTCAAGACAGGAGATTGAGAGATTTGTTTTGAATTACAAGAAGGAGAAGACTCTGACAACAAAGACTGTGGCTTTACAATGCAATGATCTTTGTGCAACTATGAGTCAAAGAGTGATGTACGAATGAAAAACAATAGAATCTGGCTTGGTCAGATGAAGAAAGGTTTGGATCCTAGCTTCAGAATTTGAGAAAATGTACATACTGAAATTTGATGTGCACAATATGTCATCTTTTTTTGTGTGTGTAAACTGCCTTTTGACAGTGTTTAGTATTGTGCAAAGTTGGATGTCTTGTCTTTTGAGAGGACTTTTGGGTGAATCTCCTGCAGATTTGCTTGTCAGCAAATGGAAGATTTTGATTACAAATAAAACAATCAATTAAACAACTGTTACAAAGGGCACTAATATTTAATGATCATTTACCATAGTTGAAAACTCCATTTGAAGCCAGCTTATTCTGAAGGAAACTAATAGACAAACAAGAGGGAAAATATTTTTCAGACTATTCTCTTGTAGGTGCTTCACTGAGGTAACCACCTACTTCAAATCTTATTGATAACACTGAGTATCACCTAACTTAAAAAGCTAAAAATGTTCAGGAAGTTAAACTTTCACAATAGAAAAAACAATGTCCACTTCCTGGAGTCATTTAGTCATTTACTACTTTTAACACCTTTGAGTGTCACTAACCCCAAATTTGTTTAATAAAATAAATTTCCTTATTTTATTGATCATCACAGTGAAAGAAGTATCGCAATTGAATAAAACCTCACAACTCTACAAGCAGTTTAAGTTCAACTTCTTATGTTCAAGACCCTGTGGCTTGGGAAAGTTTTTACCTCATCCTGGAAACCACACCACAAGGCTGAAATGAAAAATTCATAGACACCATACCAAGATAGGAAATTCTTTGAGAATTTCCTTTTCTTTAAACATCATACTTGACGTCCATACTTTCATTGATAAATTAAGAAAATTCTAATCTTTTTAGGCTTCATTTGTTTCTTTTTATGCATGTAATTTTATTCCAGTAATATGTACATGTAATACCTGATTGGTGTCTCCATAATTTATTGTACCCTTTTTTGTTATTTTGTTTTTATTGTATATGCACTCTCTTGGTCATTTCCTTTGATCAGTTAAACTTGTTATTGAAGAATTTATTTGAGTGTTTATTTCCCTCCTGCCTCCATTAGCTTAGCTATTTTGCAGTGAGGGATTGTTAGAAATGTGTGTTAATTGCTAAGGTAAACAAATTTTGTTGTTTGAATTTTGTATAGACTCAAACTCACAGTGACTCTATGACTCCTAAGCATCCAGCCTAAATGTGTGCTGACAGCAAAGCCTCTTGAAAGTGGAGTCATTAGAGCTCCCTGATACTATTGACAAATAACTCCATTAGGCTCTCACAAGTTCATCTTGAGGGGCACATGCCCAAAAAGCCTATTGAGATACAGCACAAGGGCAGACATTCTGATTGACGCAGATTTTAAATCAGATATCTATGCTTAATCAGAAAGAAAGCAGAGCATGACCCTGTGGGAATGCTGATGAAATTTTATCACAGATGCATGTAGTAACTTACGACAGAGAGTTCAGAAAACTAAATCAAGCAAAAACTAGAAACTTTAAGATAAATGTAATAAAAGTTTTAAAGACTGCAGAATCAGTGGCCATAGATTCAATCCATTTAAAAGCATGCCATGTAAACAAATAAGGCATGGATTCAAAAGCTAAACTGAACAAGTTCAACAAGCTTCTTTAAAATTTGAAGGTCCAAACAGGCAATAGAAAAGTCAACAGAAATGACACTTGCAAGTCACCTAAGAGTTCCCATGCTTAATTCGTGATAAAGTGATCAGAGTTAAAGCCTTGGAATGAGTAATCGTGTTAAGTCATGGGACAAGTTACATGAATCACTTTAGATGACAGTGCTTTTCTCTACCAACGTGTATTAATACGTATCAGCAAACTGTGTGCAGCAAGAAATATGACAAAAATGCAGAAGGAAAAGGAAAACCTACACAGAACTATCATTGATTGGTCACTGATGGCCAAAGCAGGTCTAGTACAGTTGAGACAAATATTAAAAATTTTACCTGAGGTAATTAAACTCTCTGGTTTACCACTTGCTATTCTGCCTCATCCACTTTCCTCTTATTATATGAGATCCACTGTTCCCCAATGTCCATGAAGACTTGTCCACAAGTTATTTGCCAAGGCTTGTCCACAGGCCATATATCAAAAAATGTTCACAGGCCATATACCAAGCTTGCCTAACAGTCCATTACTAATGCTTCTCTAAGGTCCATTAACAAAGCTTGCCCATAAGATATATGATGGGGACCAATCAATGGATAGTCCACAAGCAATCTATCAAGATTTGTCCATAAGATTTATGACCTCCATAGATAAGAAGAAAGGCTTTTCACAGCATTGCTCCAATGATGATCTATTGGCTAAATTAAATGTAACAAATAATTATTAATGGTTGCAGATGATTATCATGTTGAACTTCATAAAGTATCATACAAAGAAATTTACATTAAATATTCTGTGATTGGTTGTTACCTATGATCTATTGGCTAATGTCGTGCAGGGTTCTCACTGACTGCCTCCCAGTGGTTAAGAAACTGACCACATTCCAAAATGAATTATTTTCAAAGCAACAATTAAAAAGTTCATCACTGTTTCCGCTGTCCTCCAATCTCTCACTACTGCATCTGCTTTATTTCCTGGTATACATTAATATGTTTAAACTAATTTAAAACCTCTAAAGTAATCTTGAATAGTGTTGGCCTTTGTTAGTTGAATACCTGGTCGCCTACTTAATGCACCTAGTTATCATCTCCCCCCATTACTGAGAAACCTGTCATGTGTCACCTTTTGGTTCTTGCCACATTCTGGCCTACATCTATAGTTTACCTCTTGAGTAATTTCAAAAACTTAACAGCCTTAAGGAAGACAACAACTCAGCATGATATCAAGAAGTCTTATTTCAAGTACAATCAAGTTGGCTCTGATTAAATTTGATTCTTTGGTTAAAAGAGTTACCCTGAGTTAAAGAAACATTTTCAAAATGTAATTTCTCACACAAACTGCATATCACCATGGTATAAAAAATGAAGTTATAACATCAATTCCAAAATTGAACCTAAATTATCATAAGTAGCCATTACATAGGCCATGATATAAGCCATGACATGTATTGTGGACTCACTTGGTGCACAACATTTTGACCACTATGACAATGAATATCCTTGTCAATAAGAGTATTGATTTTGCTAATACTCTGCTGATTTGTTAAATTTCCCAAACAAAGTCTTATTTCAGCTTCAAAAAGAATTGCTTTCAATAATTGGGAAATATACTCTTCTGAAAACTCCTAAACTAAGGTACTTTTCTTCAGATGTTAATTACTCTAAATTTTAAAGAAATGGGTGAAACTGGTATAGCAAAACAGCAGCCAGATAATTGGTGATGGTTTAAATACAAACAAAGGGGAGCTCATGCATTTTTGAAAGTTTATCTATCTGCTCCCTCAGGAATAAAATGGCTATGTGCAGTCAGTAAAAGGGGAAAAATATGCATTTAGACACTACATTGAACAGCTAATTAATTACCAACATGAAAGTGAGAAAACTTTTACATGACTACACAAAACTTCATTATGCTGAGGTGCAATTCTTAACGAAACTGCCATAATGTTTGGATTGCCTGATACTGGCCATCTCCTTAGAGGTCATTAACTGGCTTACAAACAACTACTGTCCATATTTGTCAAATAAGGGGAAAACATCAATTTACAACCAACCAAATTTTTCCTAATGACAACCAAAAAAATAGTACTAAGGGTCTAATTGGTGATGTGACTTCCTAAAAAACAGACAACAGAAGGTCCTCACTCATTCAAATGTGTATTCTGATCATAATCTCCATGGTGTTGTCAGAAACAACCACCAGGTAAGTGATGTATATTTTTAAACTTAATTGCCCATTTAAAGTCTGTGAGTATGTTTGTTTAAGTGTTTGTTTCTGCACATAACATTACTCATAATTTCAGGGGATATGACTTTAAGTTTCTGGTAACTTAACAACCATTTTCTGGTGATATGACTTTCGGCAAGATGACTTTCAGGCAACTTGACCAGTTAGCAGAGGAAAGAGATTTTTTTTTCACATGTTGTGGGAAAGAGGAACACTTTGTAAATCTTTGTTTTCAATGGAGTGATAATTTTTAACAAAACAGGTTGTTAGCGGCTGCAAACTTTGACTTCAGAACAAAATCCTTCTCTTATTATGTATAAACTGCCGCTTACAATTAAAATCTTTGATTACGATGCAGATTACCCCACTACAACCTCATTTGAATTTTATTGTGTAGAAATTGTGATTTGACACCTCATACATCAAAATGCATCCACACATTTTAAAGTAATAAAGCAAAGTATATTGCATTTACTTTAAGATGTACAGATATAACATCAAAAGCTTACCATCGTTTGATGACACGATCTACTGTTTTCTGCGATGTGATCTTGGATTGGCAGTCTGCAAACAAGTAAGACTCTTCAGCGAGTGCTCCACAGATAAACATCGCATCGGAGCTCATTTTGACGACTTTTAAGCTGGTAAAATTACAAAGGAACACAAATAAACAAACCATATATCCTCATTTCCCAGAATGGTAAACACCGTTTCGTACACGTGCAAAATGGCGAACAATTCGTTTCCAGGACACATCAAGACAGCGGTAACAGACTCCGCGGGACACTGCGGGACACAAAGTCAAGAAATACGCACTATCAGGGCTCGCCCAATCCCGATGCAGACCGTGGTGAAAGCTGACGCATTCAGGGTGTGAGCCGATCCGGGAAAGCTTTCTGCCCCTACACTGACACAACTAACACGAAAAAAAAAAGCGAAAAGTCGCGTTTCCTGATGAATTGTGAGTTCTTGTTCTGACTCGAGTAATTGTAGAATCTTTATTCGGGGTTGTCCCGTAAGAGCTCATCTATCGTGTCTTACTTGGGTTGAAACAAAATTTTCGAAATTTTCAAAACTCAGTTAGTGGGTACATGATAAACTGCTAATTGACTGAGTTAGGTCGGGCTGCAAGATTTAATAATATTTGGCTCTCGTTCAGGACGCGCGTACCTCGCTGCGCTCGGGTCAACTATTTTCCATTCTGGCGCTCCCACTCGGTCGATAAGTGTATGTCATGATAGCCTTTATGTTATGATAAGAACATGTAACAACGTGTACAGTAGAACTCCACAAACTCGAACTTGCAAGGCAAACAAAAAAATGGCTCGTGTGTTGTTTGTCACAATATCTTAATGTTGATCATTAGACAGTAAGAGTTCAATTACTTTTAAGATAATTTGAATGTAAAATCATTGAACGCGAACCGCCTTTCTTGGGAAAATGTACCGCTTTTAAATATTTTCTAGAGGAAATTTTGATGACTAAGGAAGCATTATGAGGTATATATAAAGATCTAATCATGTCTCTCTTATCCTCACAATCTATTCTCTCAAAATTGTGTCATATTTAGCGAAATTTAAAACGTAAAAGCAGTTTTATTTCGTATCAGCTTCAATGTTGATAATAAAAGGTTCGAGTACACCTGTTTTTACTTGTTTAAACACATGCCAATTATATTGTTATGTCTTTGTTATATCTTAACATTTTTATAACTTAAGGAAATGTGTCAACCTTCCTAATTAAAAACGAACTGGCCGAGGGTAATTTTTAATTTCTTTTAGTATCGGAGTTGTATTCGTCACATTTAGCAAAAGTTTCTGCTGGTGAAACTCCAATCCCCTGCAAAAAAGGCTCTAACTGTTAATGGAATACACATGGGGCGTATATTTAAAATAACCTCTTATAAATGTCATCGTCGTGAAAAAGTAAATAATGTAGTTCAACCATTATTTGTAAAGTTAAAGCAATAACGGAAACAAAACTTATCACATGAAAACGGATAACAAACGTTTTTTTCTCACAGTTTTTATGCAGCAATATAAAAAAAACTTTTAAAAAAAGTGGCATAGTGATTCAAATCTTACCTGGCATAAAAGACTGGCTTGGAACTAAGTCAATACTCATGACAGCTGCGTTATTATCTGTGTATTTGGAAGATTTGTGTTAAATCGGACAGGAAGAAGATTACACTGATTGCACGAAACTGTTACACTACACACTGTTGACGTGCACGAAATCCAGAAAGAAGGCAAAAACTTCGTAAGCATAAGTATTCTGTGAAGGCAATTTCTTTATTCCTCAAATTGTTTACTAGTCGGTACTAATAACAATTTATGAACACCGTTTCTTCTCATTACAAGATGTTAATAATGGGTAGCCTGAGTCTGACTGATTCAGAATTGCGAAATACGAGCTATGGAGATACATCAACCGTTGAAGCTGTTAAACTGCCGCAGGTGGAGGGGACACGAGCGGTATTTGGACTAATCGCTGCTTTTTCCGTGTTTTTAAACTTCTTCTTTTGTGTGGTTATGATAAGGAAGCCTGTCATGTTGAAATCAGCGCACAACATTCTCCTGTTCTCGCTTGCCATTACGGATCTGCTAACAGGTAATCTCGTGTTCTTTTGTGCAATCATGCAATAATTTTCCTTGAAGAAAGGTAATTTTAATCGTTGAATGGTCACCTAATTTTCTTTGTTTTCTTTTACTTTTACGTTCATGAGGGATATTAATCCCTCTCACCCCAGGATATGTTGTTAGCATTTCATCCTTCCCAGCTCCAAGTGGCTTACGTGGTGAAATTTTTTGCCGCTTTTTGGGCAGCAGATATGTCCTCTTTACAATGGGGAGAGTCTCTATTTTGAAGGTCACGTGTTTGGCTGTGGAGAGATGGTTTTCTATCTTTCGACCAATGACTTACAGGTTTTACTTCACAACGAAGAGGATGTTTCTTTACATTTTGGCCATTTGGGTGTTTACCTGTATTTTGAAGAGTAACAAATTCTTTGAATGGAAATTGTTGGGAAATAAATGTTCTCCGATAAAAGCGCCATATGGAGAAACAATTACTCAAACAATAGTAATATTTATCAACTCTGTTATAGGGTTTTGCCTTCCATGTATAATTACATGGGCGTCATTTGCTCATATTGCATTGCTTTTCAAGACATCACTGGTGGCGAGATGTTACGGCGAGCGACAAAGAAAACAACAGAAAGCGCTATTACGCATGTGCGCCGTAGCGTGTCTAACTCTGACACTGTGTTGGCTACCAGCTCAAGCTATTTATGTTCTGTCTCCTTTTGGCATCACAAATATTGATAGTCCCATACACATTATAGGTGGAATTCTCGCCATGTCTAATTCATGCGTCAATCCTTTGATATACTGGATGACAAACAAAGAGTACAGGGACAGTTTGTGTAAAACCTTCGAGGTTTCAAAGATAAAACTTTTCAACAGAAGACGCAAAAAAATGATGGAAAGTCAAATGTATGAACTAATGGTTTTACGAAACTCAGGTAACTGAGGGGACACAGTGTTTCGTAGTTCTTCATGAACACGATGTGTTTTCCTTGACTGTAAAATCGTTTGGTATAAACTTCTTAAATGTTCGAATTCCCTGCCCCTAAAACAGTAACTTACACCCGTTATCACGAGGATACCATAAGTTTATTCAAAAGCTCAGTTCCCCCTTTTAACCAAAGTGATTGAAATTAAATCACAGTTGTTTTTCTTCAATTCAAATCGAAAAATAAACTTGTAAGTTCACCTTGAGGTTAGAAAAGAACGCCTTAAACTTAAATGTTTTTATTAATGGACACTGTCGCTCCACTTCAGGGGTGGATCTAGGGAAAGGGTGTGTACCTCATTCTGAGATGACCTACCCCTCTCTAACATAACTAGTATTCCGCACCAAAAAAAACAAAAACAAAAAACTTTAGTTTATTTGTGCTAAAGTTAGACATAAGACTAATTTGAAGAACTTCTGCTAAACGCGTAAAAATGGTAACCATAAGCCTTCTTTTTCGTGGTTCGTTTTTAAGATTTGTTTTCCGTCACCCGTGAGTTATACCGCTGCATCACTAACTGCATGACAGTCAAGACGGATGCTTTACTTTACACAAACACAAACATTAAGTCTAACATTATTTTCAAATAAAGAGCAGAACAAACGACCAGCTACTTGGTCATACGAGGGATGGATCGCGGATGACAGATGAACGTGTTTCGAAAGTAAAGATCCCCACAGTCACGAAATAGAAGTAATGAGATTACCTCTGATTCTCTAGTAGATCCCTTCGTGTAGAGCTATGACCAGTTAGCAAATTTGCCAGCAACGAATTAATGCGAAAGTGAATAGATGATCAGAATAGCCGGTGGAAACTTGTCAAGAAAATCCTAAGAACACGCGATAGCCGAACTGAAATTAGAGCACATACATAACAAACAGTTGCCCTGTAATTCCAAAGCAGCTCAGCGGAGTGGGCCGCGACCGAGGAGAAGAGAGATCTGGGTACTAAGTTTGTGTTAGTTGTGAAAGTATGTGCAGAAGTATATTATATGCGTAAGTCTGAATTAATTGTGAGTATGGCTCGACACTACGCAATACTTAACAAATTTCTGATTCCTGGAGTATTTGCCGTTTTGCTGTCGAAAGGTGAGAGGTTTTACGCAATAGATTTTAACCATACTCACTCGTACGCATGTAATGACAACTTCATAACTATACATCATTCGGAAGGAACCAACTCGCAAAATCTTTTGAGGGATCTTAATCTCTTATCTGATTGTAAATTTCAACTTGTTTCTAACAGTGGGCGGTCAAGCATCAAGAATGAATATGTTACCTCCATTTTTAGATCTAGAGATTTCTTATTTACGATTCTTCCGTTCAAGTAATTATTTATGGACAGTTATATGGCACTTAATTTGTAATTATCTGAATTAATTAATTCATTTAATAGTTAATAATAATGATAATAACGAGACAACGTTAGTTGTACAGTGGAACCTTGACTTTCATCCACCTCATTGTTAAAATCACCCTATTGAAGCAGAATTTTCAAAAATAGATTTTGATGTCAGACTTTTTAATTTTGAAAATACAACATTTTTCAAAACTTCAGTCTCATCAATCATAAAATGTCTTTTATATGATCAAGATCTCTCAGTTATTATTTTCATTATATTACTTGACAGTTGCTGAGGTAGAACAAAAATTTAACTCAGGGTATGGTTGCTTTGTTTAAAGCCAGATCCACAAAGAATAATTCCACATCTATGCAATAATGATTGAAATCAGGAATCCATTTTACACTAGATTTCTCTCTTTTGGTATAATTTGAAAAGAACTGCTATTAACCTTTAAGTGACCAAATTTTTGAAGCCAAGCTTAAGTTGTGTTATTAGAGCTTTACTGTATTAGTTAACCACAATTCAACAATTCATTTGACTAAGAAGGGATAATTTTTGAAAAGTAAATGCTGTTCAGAGGATCCATTAGATGTGTCTAAAAGAGAATTAAACATTTATTGAAGCAAATTAATAATTACACAATGTGTACAACCCCTTAGTTTTGCTTTGTGATGGTCGTCTTCCACAACAGAGACAGAGTGTCAAAACTTCCTTGACGGTAAGATTACCACATTTATGTGCGAAAAGAAATGAGAGGATGAAGGAGTTAATGATTTAAGGTGATCTGCATTATTAGATGTTCTCTAGTTATGAACTGGAAATTCATAATTGGATGATATTGGCAGCAATGAGAGGGCTAAATAAGAAGGAGCTATTTCCATGAAAACGTAATGACACAGTTTACTAATTATGTTTAGTCACCTTGCTTGACAGATACTCCATGATACTTGATAAAGAGAGAGGCAATAAGACTCCCTTAGGTTTGTAACAAAAGAAAAAGTTTAGTGCCAAGATGTTCTCATAGATATCTATAATACGCATTTGTTGATGAAAACAAATCCAATAAGGCAAATAAATCATCAAGGAATTTAAGTAACACATTTGATAGTGTAGCCACATGTTAAACAAACTGTTTGTATGATTTGTTCTTACCTCTCAGTTTTCTGCAGATGGGTGTGGTAAAACAAAAGGCTGTTTCTTTAAACCAGAATCATGTAAATCTGCAGTAAACAAATGTGAATACTTCATGACTTACAAACCCCAAGGATCCACCATTACTTTTGAATTAAGCAGCAATACTAAGTGGGCAGCAGTTGGATTTAACCACAAGGCTGTTATGGTAATCATTACTGTTTTTTAGGATATACCTTAAAGTCCTCTTAAATCTGCATTTAGTTAAACAGATGTATTAAAACTATATTAAGCCAGTAATTTCTGTTGTGTTGTTTCTTCTCTGTTGAATTTTACAAAACTAGTTTTGTGTGGCTTTTAATTTTTAAAACAAAAGAGAAAGCACACACAAATTAAAAAACAAACAAACAAACAAAAGCGGAAAAAGCATGATATAGGGCAGTAATTTTGCATTAAATTCATTAAATTCATAAGCTTTAGGAATTTCAAGGCAAAACAGTGAACAGCATTTTGAACAGCATAATTGTTTGCTTGGTTTATTTTAATTTTAGGATGGAACAGATGCTATTATATGCTCCCTTCAAAATGGTATCACTCAAGTTGGTCATTATTCAGTTAAGGGATATCAAACACCAAGTAGAACAACACAGGTGAGAGTGGTGGCTACAGAGAGTATGTTAAGCCTTGAACCAATACTTTTCACAATTATCTAGTTTACCTAAAACAATACAAGTTTTTTAATTAATGTAATCAACTGTCCTTTGGTCATATGAAGCTCTATATTGACTGTCTATCAATATATATTTTTTTAATTTTTGGTTGATTCCTCTTCATTTCTGTGATAAATGCAGTTGAATGATAATAGGGTTTATTTGCAGTGGACTTTCACTTAACTTTTTACTTCTTCAGAAGATAAAAGGACTAAAAATTGAACAACAATCTTATGAGGATGGAACTATCAAATGCAGGTAGAAACAATAAATGTCTGACTCAGTAGCATTGGTTAAATTGCAAAATCTTAGCCATTTGATTGGACTCAAGTGTGATAATGATAATAGAAATTAAAACTATGATTATAATTATGTTGAAGTCAATATTCAAGACTGATTTTTGTTATGTTGAATCATATTGATTTCTCGATTAATGATGCTTAAGAGTTAAAAATATCTATGATTTCTTGATCAGAAACTTAAATTTAAAAATTAAAAGAAAGCAAAAAATCAAGTTGTTATTTTTTTGATACAGATTTTTATTTACTGACTAGTTATTGTGAGGAGTGTTTTTAGGGTTAAGCATTAATGACTGCATTTAATTATTACTATGCACCCCACTGCTCCATGTAATTTTTGTGGTCTGTTATTATATTGCTGGAGAAAATAAATATTAATTTACAGGAGATGAATGAAGGAAAAACAAATTTATTTGGTTATCAAGGTGTTTGTATACACTTTAGGTTTAGTAGAGAGAAGCAGGATGGAGTCATGACTTCTGACCTGAACAATAATTTATTTGTTATATTTGCACAAGGGCCTACAGGTAAGGCAGGTAATACTTTGTGCTATTTTGTTTTGAATCCAATTGTGTTTAGATGTTTTAAAAGTCCAATTGATATACAATTTTATATATATATACCTGTTTTGAAAAACACAGCAACATTGGAAATAAAAGGTGTATATATTTAGTATATATTCTCAAATTTGCAACCTTTTGTGATACAGGTGTTTAAATATACATATATACATTCTGATGCAGTTCTTTTTATCATGTAAAGTTAATTTTAAAATCCTGCATGTAATTGACTTACAGTTTCAGTGCTGTGCACAGAGTTCGAATTAACCCTTTAACCCCTAAAAGGGGCTAACATATAATTTTCTTTTCACATCATCCCTGAATCAAACATTAAGGTCATGAGAATAAAGGAAATGATCACCAACTAAGGAAGCTCTTGATTGCCAAACAAATTCTTCTGATCAGCTTCTTAGAAGAGGTTTAGAGGATAGTAACTCTAGAGAATATGTATACTGACGTTAGGGTGTAATAATTCTGCACAATATAAGGAGGATTACTTTTGGTTTCGTGTTTAAACCTGTACAGGGACTGGTGGATCTCTCAGGGAACACAGCTGGAAAGGTCACTCCATGAGCCCAGTGAATCTCGAGGAAATTCAAAGCCTTGAAGCATCAGTCTATGATTTCTCCCTACTTCAAATCCATGGTAATTTTATAAATTGTTATTACATCTGAAATTGTTTTCAGTATTTGTAGCACAAATTCCTTTTTTTGTTACACTTAGGTTGCTGGCATTCATTCTCTTCCACTCATATAATTTGTAAATTCCCACTGCTTAATTCTCATGTACAGAGAATATTGAGATAACTGGCATTTTACTTGAATTTACCTGCCAACTGACTAGACAACAGGGAAGACTGCTTACAGGTTCTGAATTTTGATTACAGCAGTGTTGATGGTGATTGCCTGGGTGGGGTTTGCCACCATAGGGATGTTTATAGCAAGATACATGAAGCCAGTCTGGGGTGAAAAGGATCTGTGTGGCAACAGGCTCTGGTTTCAGGTTTGTCCTGGTAGTGTAGATGGAAATTCAACCAAATTCTTTATTATTAACCTGTTAAAGGTTACATAGATTAGTGCAGGTTTTGCCCTATCACTTATTTCAAGTACTGACATTTGATGTAGAAACAGTTAATGTTCAGTCAAGGTCTAGTTGCATTAATTTCATTTTCCCACTGACAAAATGTGGTCAAAGGCCTACTGTTTGTATTTCAGTAAAAAGCTTCACTGGGGAAAAATTTTATTATCTGGGTGGAGGATTCCAAAGAATAGAAAAAGTAGACAAATTGATTAGGTTCATCCTACTTGACTGAAAATATAAGAAGCAGTACTTGATGGGGAAAATTTCTACAGTTGATGATGTTTTTATACACTCAGGTGCACCGTGCTATCATGGTTATCACAGGCTTATTAACTGTAATAGGAGTAACTCTAGCCTTCATTTATGTTGGTGGATGGTCTAAGGTATGTTTTGTGTCAAATGAAAAATTAAGTTTTCTTTTAAGACACAGCAACACAACCTAAGTAAAAGAGCAAAAAATGAAAAATGGTAGAATAAACACAAAAATTTAAGTGGATTGCTAGTTTTACTTTCTGTAAGACACAATGATCAAATCACTCATTTTAAGTGCTTGAAGAACCCTCCCCCATGAGTAATGACCTTACTCAAAGTAAAAATTGTTTCCACTGACAGTACATCACATCGTTACATCCAGCTGAGTTCACTTATGCCATCAATTATTTTATGGGAACACTAATTCATGTCAAGCCTTTCTCATGGTAATGTATATTTTGTCAATGATGCCCATAGGATGCTGGTGCTCATCCTGTCATTGGCATTATTGTACTGTCAATAACTATCATACAGCCAATTGCAGCAACTCTCAGACCTCCTCCATATGGAGAAAGGTAATTTCTGATATCACTCTGAAGTGTGAAAATTAGTACAGCTTTCTTTACATGTGTTTTGGGTTTACTGTTGTTCTTTAATTGAGGTACTAGGTAGCAGCAAATAGTAATGAAATGAGTACTTCCCTCAGAATATGCAGGTACTGCAAGGCCATTTTAATTTGGCACTCCCCATTTTATATGGACACCATTCACTGAATGGACAGTAGCTGCAATAAGCCTTGTTAGAATCCTCTGAAGTCCTTAACCATTTTCTCACAATTGTTTTCATTTGTTCTTTTGTTTGTTTGTTTTTAAGACGATGGATGTTCAACTGGGCACATAGAAGTTTTGGATTGATTGCCTTAGCATTATCAGGTATCAATCTAACACATACAGTGTATGTGGTGTAACTTGTGCTGTATGCCAGAAGGACTAAATAGTTGCAACATTTTTTATTACACTGAATATGGACTAACAGTTAAGATAGTTTGTAGATCAGGCCTCACACGAAAGGATTACCTAATTTGATTTTTTTTTTCTAAAGTGATAAATATATTCCTGGGTTCTGTACTACCAGCCTTCCATCTGGAAAGTTCTGCAGTGTATGTGATGATCATCTATCTACTAGTGCTTGCAGCAGTGGCGATGTTTGAAATCTACTTGGCTTGCAAACAAGGAAAAAGTGTTAGAGAGTATTGTGTGCTTTCTAAACCTCAAGAAGATGAAGTTGACCTTACTCCAGTTTCAGCCAGTGGAACTGAAATTGATGTTGAGAAGGTGCATTAGTCAATTAGGTGTATTTGAAACTAACAGCCTGATAGCATGAACACACACAAAAAAAACAAACTCTGAGGCAAGAATAAACAGGATGAGTAAATCCAGAGTACAACAGATGTTTCTCTTAAAAGCATACCTCTGTTTTTTTTTTTAGGTATTCAAGCTACACACCATTATGTTTGGAGTTCTGATTTTGGCTCTAAGTATTATTTGTGTGGCCATGCTGTTACTGATCACTATGCATGTGGAAGCTGATGATAACTGAATAGCTACTTTGGCTCTGTTTAATGTGGAGTACCAAAACCTTCCACAGAAAACTGTTTTAAACTGTTAACTTAGACCTAAAGTGCAATGCCAGTTTTAAAAAAAACATACAAGTGTTCACTCCTGAGCACGTTGAAGGGTAATAAGATTACATTTCCTGAGACATAAGTTGTAGGATTGTTACATTAATACAATCTGAGAGTTTTCTTTGGAAAAAAAGAAAGTCATTTCCAATTTGGATTGAAACAGTTCCCCTTATTCTGGGGTGTTTCCTAACTAAAGGTTACAAAGATACAGTGTTATTACATGTAGTTTGCATGCTGCATTCTGTAGGTTACTCAGGGTTCAGTTATTTTAAGAATTTATCTTTTTTATCTAATATACAGCTAATTAAGTTTACTTTATCATTATGATAGTACAAATTGCATAAAGAATGCAAAAATTGCCAGTGTTACTAGTTTGTTTTAACTTCAGTATTGTCTTTATTTTAATTAGTTGATTCTGCTCTTAATTAGTTCTGTTTCAAAGTCAATGTACTGTACCTCACTTTTACTTATAATAAAGAAACATAAATATTGAAAAAGATGAATATTATTGTATATCAGTTGTAATATCACCTTACAGCCACGATTCTGGTTCAAAAGATTAGAGATATGGGTTTTTTTCTTCTATCTGTTCATGAAAAACTAGAGTGAAAGCCATTGATTTACTCATACCAGAAATATTTTCATGGAAAATTGATATTGATATATGAGAATATAACCTCTTCAAATAGTGCAGTTTTCAAGAATGATTCTTGGATTGTGGACCAACACATCAACAGTTCAGCACCACTCAGCCACCCTGCTTGCTGGCAAACTAACCTTTCATATCTAACTATACCCTAGCTGCCTTAAGACCTAAGCTACCAACTTCTAACCTGTCTTCTGTCTCTAACATGGCTTGACCTTTGCTTTTGAGTTGAACTCAAGTGTGTCCATTCTTCACAAATGTTCCTTGCCCTTACTATCAGTCATTGTGCAAACTCAGACATAAGTTGTCTTGCAAGCCAGTCTAAGCCTTCATGTAGGCCCTTGCCAGAATGTGCATCAGAGGCAAATATGTTCCAGCTCCTTCCACAACACAGCTTATGGAGAGCAAGCTTTTCAGTGAGATCATCAACACTGAGAGCACTGGGCAAGTCCTACAAGATAGCATTTGAGTGTCCATTTTAGCATCATTAATTCAAAGCTATTTAAATTAAATTATTAAAACTCCAGTTGAAATTGAAATAGATGTTTGTTTCAGTGTCAATATATATTTGATGTGTTAACTATAATTAATAGGGACACTGTCTATCTTACATTGAATAGAATAGGAGGTGTTAACATTCCCACTCCAGAGAGACTGTCCACCTGGCCATCAAAAGGGAAGTGGACAAGAATTCAAAACCACACACTATTTCATCCAGGAGAAAGAGCAAGGGGGTGGCATTTGGATTTGAACCAAATCTGCAAACTGACATGCTTTCAGTTCTTACAATATTCATATGTATATCTAACAAATAGATTCCAAGTTGCCATGTGTCTGTTCAGTAATAGATCACAGAGGATGTCAAAATGTGATAAGAACATCAGTGGCACACTCAGCTGTGCCTCGTGTGCCACTTTTTTGTTCGTTTCACATTTTGACCTCCTCTGTGATCTATTACTGAACAGACGCAAGGCAACTTGGAATCTATTTGTTTTATATAATAAAGAGTTAAAATATAAGGAAAAAAAGTTTGAATGATGACATCAGCTATGTCTGTCCTCCAATAGATCATAAGTGAGAACCAATCAGAATGCGTGCATAGCTGAACTTATTATATAATTATAAATATAATTAATTTGTTTATTAATCTATGGTGATATGCAATGTACATGAGAATAACAGTAGGAAAAGCACTTATCACAAAGAGATATTGTTCTTATTATAGCATGTGTACCTGTTTGTTAGCATATATCAACAACAGAGCATCTTTCAGTCTTTTCTCTGCCATTAATTTTGCAAGTTCCTCATGAGCCTCTTCAATACGCTCTAAATTGTTACTGTCAATCACAAAGATCACAGCTAAAATATAGAAATACAAAAAATTCAACCAAAGTAAGAAACAGCAATTAGATTGTATACTTGCATGTAACAAAATACTTTTCTTACGTACCAGCTAATATTACTGTTTACAGGAAATACGTTACTACCCTGCAAGAATTTTAGTGCCCTAATAACCTAGCTCAGAGTTACAAAATGAAGTTCTGATGAAATTTCTGTTCAAACAGTTATTTGGACAAAATGGAAACTGTACACTAAACCATTAACCTATTGAACTTATCATTATGATAGTAAAATGGACCTACATGTACATAACAAAGTTAGGCCCTCAACAGCATAAATGCCAAATTTACCAAACAACCTTCATTTCTTGTGATTCTAACCTTGTGTGTTAAGGTAATAATGTCTCCAAAGTGGACGGAGTTTCTGCAGACCACCAACATCCCAAAGAGTAAACTTTAAACTGCGATGTTCAACAGTTTCCACATTGAATCCTGTCAAAAATATAGAAAATTAAGGAAGAGGAAGTTTAGCTGTATCAAGTTAAACACCAAAAAATACAATTTCCTCCAGCTCTCCAGCAAACAACCACTCACTGCTATCTCAGTTATACAAGACTTTCCACATTTTTGCTTTCAAAGTCACCAAAATGCACATTTCTCCCACCAACAAGTTCAGGAAATGTTCAGGTTTGTTACTCCATTTTTTTTTTTAGGGAATCAAGGACTACATACATCACTGAGGCAGTAAACAACTTAATTAACAGAAAACTTGACCATTCAATGAACCATTTATTAGAACTCAAAGACAGTGTGTCCCAAAAACAGGCCACTGCGAAGCTAGTCTGCAATGATGAAACACCTAAAATTTTCAGCCACACAGCTAGTGGCTTGTTGTCTGTCCTTAAATACCCATCAAAAAATGAGAGTAATTCCAATGAGCAAGACTATCAGAGAGGGTAAGCTCAAGAGTAGGGGGAGAAACTGTGTGGTAAATACCACATCCAATCACCTAATCCATGAAGTAAAAGGACAAATTAAAACAAAAAAGGTCCCATATGTAACTCTTGAAGTCTCTTCTATCTATAGCCAGGCATTCTTTCCCCATTCCAATCTAGTTAATCAAAGCACATTCAATTAAAATAGATTAGGGTAAAAACAATTACCAATTGTTGTTATGGGCGAGACAAACTCATCATGCTTCATTTTAAATAAAATTGAAGTCTTTCCTGCTCCATCAAGTCCCAGTGCAACTACTCTCATTTCCATTTTTGGGCCTATGTGGACCCTATTGTCTTTTGTAAAGGCAACAGGGATGGCAGCATCTGTGTCACAGAGGCTAGCAATGTTGGTGAACTGCTCCTGCTGGTCTTGTACTGTTTCCAAAAGACTGTGGATACTGTTTCTGGCTTCTATTACCTTTAAAGGTTGAAAGAAATTGATACTTAAATAGTGAAATGTTTATATCATGAAGTACAACCATTAATAACAAATTCCATAAAACTGAAATTTACTGAATCTGGTATTACATCCTGCCACAGGTAAAACAGATTAATTTACATATCTAGTGAATTCTTTTAACTTCTGAGCAATATTGAAAACCAAACATTCTTTTATGTAGGTCAATAGGTGAATAGCATGAATAGCTTTTCCTAAAACCTTAAAGTAGCTAATAAATGTGGTTCAAAATTTTCCTTTCTTTTAAATTGTATCATATTAACATGATTTCTTTCATTCTTTCCAGATTAAGGAATTATGTAAAAAAAAAAAACCAAGACAAAAATAAATAAATAATAGTAATAAAAAAAAACAAAAACAAAAACAAAAAATAGGCAGTCAGAGACTACATGTGGCTACTGATGTAGTAAAATTTCTAGAGCATTGAAAAGAACTTGAGGTATTATAATGATGAAGCAGTGTTGAAGAATATTTGTATCCATATGCAAAAACATGCCCCATCACACATATTTATAAGTACCCTGTTCCACAAGAGAAAGATGATGTGAGAATATAGTGACTAATTGACATTCAACCAATAATTAAATGGTAAAATATAATCATACCAACAAAAGTTATAGTAATCATTACCATAACTTTTGTTGGTATGATTATATTTTACCATTTAAACAATAGTAATAGTGATTAATTTATGGGGGGTAGCTCAAGAAACTCAAAGTTTCCACAATGTGCAGATGTGTTGATCACACCTATTTACTTAGATATTTCTACAAGGAAGAGTTTTGTTTTCAATTAAATGCAGGAGAAACAACTTTAATATTATTTAGAGATGTTTATCATCTCTTTCAGGGTCACAATAAGAACTGATAACATAGGCATGCATAGCATACAAGACTTATTTTTTTACTTGGGTAGATCAAGATGGGAAACTTTGTGTTCCTAATGTTTTCATAACTTTTTTATGGGGGGTGGCTCAAGAAACTCAAAGTTTCCACAATATGCAGATGTGCTGATCACACTCATTTACTTAGATATTTCTGCAAGGAAGAGTTTTGTTTTCAATTACATGTTGAAGAAACAACTTTAAAATTATTTGGAGATGTTTATCATCTCTTTCAGGGTCACAATAAGAACTGAAAACATAGGTATGCATAGCATACAAGAGTTATTTTTTTTACCTGGGTAGGTCAAGATGGGAAACTTTGTGTTCCTAATGTTTTCATAACTTTCAAAATAATAAAAATATTGCATTACTTCATTTCAAGAGAAAGAGAAAAAACATATTTTATATATACTCACACAGGTATTTTGTGGTCTTTAGTCCCTGTTATCTAAAAACTCTACAGTTAGTTGCCTCAAAAATATAATTCCACGTAATTTTGCTGTGAATGTAAAATTCTGTCTCTTCAGAGAAAAAATTTCCTAAGTATTCATAATGTGCCAATCATACCTTTTAAGATATTTCTGCAAGAAATTTCTGAAATTATTATGAGATGTTAACTGAAAAAAAATTATAATTTGGGATTCTTTCAGGCACTAGGTGATTTTTTTCAAAGGCATTCTTCTTTCTTTATTGTATGCTGTGCCCAATAATCTCTAATGAGAAGGTCAAACTACATAGATACTCCAAAATAGACAAAATGCACCACCTGGTAAAAATCGGGTGAAGTTTGGCATTCTCATCTTTCTTCCCATCACTCACTCACTCACTCATTTCAATTACATACAGTAAGTAGCTTTGCCTCCTACAAGAGGATGTAGCCACAACAAAGAGTAAGATTGAAATATAAAACACAAATTAGTTTGAAAGATTTCACACCAAGAAAAATATTTTTATCAAAACTCAGCCATTCAAAATGGAAATAAAGCAATCTGAATTGGTATGGAACATGATAACTTTTGTAAACCAGGGAGAACATTACAAAGATGAGATCTCACATTGCTCTCCAAAATTCTGCTGCAATTTCAATCTTGACTTCTTAGATTTCTTCTGTTTCTCACTTTTCATCACAAGGAAAAAAACCTTTGTTTACTATTTTCCTTAACCCCACAACTCTTTCAAGAAGTCAATTTGAGATTGTTAATTTGAGATTGTAAACTTATCCTATATACAAACACACTAGATATACATCCTGGGCAGTTAATGAGTCTTCTTACATACTAGAACCTAGTGTAAGGACAATACAAGTGGTTCACAAGAGTGGTAGGTGATAAGGGCTTTGCTATGAGACACATGTGCAGAAGTTAATGTCACAAGTTGTAGTTTTAAGTACCAGGGAAGGGCAACAATTCAACTCCTGTGTTAATATAAAATTAATGTTATAAAATAACATTACCTCAGCATCACTCCTCTTGAGTGCTCTGTCACACTCAACACAGACAGATGTTACTTGCGACATCAAAACAGCCATGTCCTCCTGTTGTTGTCTGAGTGACAGTAGTTTCTCTCTCACATAATTATTAACAACAGCAAGTCCAGCCTCCTCTTGTCGGTTGACTGTTTCTCGTAGATCATCAAAATATGCTCGCACTTTACTTCTTGCATCTTCTGCAGTTCCAGCAACATGTTGCGCAACGAGATTTCCTCGTTCATCCTCTTGCATCAACACCCCACCTTTAATTTAAGGGAAATGACAATTTACAACATTTTCCTAATCGCTTTCACTGAAGATCACTATGATCTTTGGGGGGGTAAATTTTTTTTACCATATTGAGAGAGCAAGGCAAGGTCTGACTTGACAACTTTGTTGCTGCTTCACAAACTCTTTTACAAGGCAAATCAAAATTACATCATGAATAGGTTATTAAAAACCAATAGCCTTATGCATCCACCAAAAACTTGAAAACCCAAAACATGTTCAACAACTTTGTGCAACAAACCTTCAATTGCTTCAATAACTGAAGAAAGCCTTGCAGCTGACCCATCAACTTCATCAGTAAAGGTTCTAACATGCTGTATGACTTTGGTCACAGAGGCACGCATGTTCTCTGCTTCATTCTCAAGTAGAGTATGCTTATGTCCCTGATGTTTACCATAATCTCGACACACAAAGCACATCAGTGAGTTATCTTGACATTCTTCCTCTAAACATGTGAATTCTATGACATGAGCTGAGTGTTGTAGACATTTTGGCTTTTCTTTGGGTTTCTCAGAAATGGGAATTCTTCTGTGCTTCACTAGAGTTTTGGTGGAGTGAGTACCCTCTGCACATTCACCACACAAGTTAGTTTCACAAACAGTACAGTATATGTTGGCAATGTGCTCTTCATTTTCATCACATCTAACAGTGTCATCTCTGCTCTCACTGTCACTTATTACTGATGGTTCTTGTAGCACTTGAAGACGTTCTAACAGTTCCAACAATGCAAAATTTTTCTTTAAACCCCAGACTCCAGAGTCACCCAGTTCAGTTGACTGTCTGTCAAAGGGACAGTGAAGTTTGTGCCCAAGGACTGGTAGCCGAGTCAAACAGTCATGACAGACAGTGTGTCCACACAATAATAACCTTGGAACTTTGTCACCTTGAAGGGTGAATACATCTTCACAAACTCGACACTCTAACACCTGAAATTGATAAACATCACAGTGCTTACAATATCTCGTACTCCATTATATAATGATCAATAATCCAGTTCACAAACAATAATAGCTACAAAGCGATTGTTATATATTTACCCAAAATGCAGCAGTTAAATTATCATGCTGTCAGGTTTGTTGTTAAATTTCCATGTCCTAAGGCATTTTCAGTTCAGATGAGGGGACCATGAATGTGATTGGTTATCACCAGCCTGATTTGAACACTACTTGGACAGAGTATGCATCATGCATGTAATTGGAAGGAATAATTGAACAGTGCTTGTGTCATGCTTATGTAAGACAGCACGCATCATGTGTGCACACTGTTGTTGCACATTTCCCTGAGTTAACTGTGGTTTTTTTAATTAAAATTTACAACTACTGGTTAGTTTGTTTAAACAATTTTATCACAGTTTTGATTAATTTGTATTGGGACTTTGTGTCATCCAATTCAATTTGTAATCATACTCATAATAAACAAATCAGACCCTAACTTTGCAGGTGTGCAATTTCATAAAACACTTGTATGATTTTAGACCATATTCAACTCCACTCAGTCTTAATACCTTTACTCTTATTACCACTAATTATATTTGTTAATGGAGACTCTGGAGGAGCAAGTATGACATTAATTGCCTCAGTGAAGAACGAGACAGCTTTGTTGCATAACTTGCCATAAAAATATATTACAAAAATTTATATTCAGCAAGGTGTCAGTGAAAAAGAGCAGATATTACCCTTGCCACTTAATAACCATAGCTTGTTAAACATACTCTTTAACACTATTTACCTACACTTAGGTGAAAAAAAATTGTGCTGTTAGAAGAAGCCAACCACCCCAGCAGTTTGTCCTCGCCTACAATGTGCATGTTTGCAGTAAGTTTTTTTTTCTAATTAAGTTTGATAAAAACAAAAAAGTCACGACTAAGTTTCTCTCGATCTTTTTTCCAGGTTTTTGCTAATTTTAGAACTTGATTTAGGCTGAAGTTTGCCATATTGATTGATAACACACAGAAAATGACTTGGACAGAAACAATACTGTGCTGAAAAGGGTAAGTTGAAGGTTAATTTCTCATTCTCCAAGTTCTCGGTTTTGTTTTTAACCCAGGGAAAACACATCTACACTCATATGAAAGTATTTTGGATCGTCAGCCGGTTTTCTTTTCCTATCTTTAATTTTGCAGCTATATATTATTAACCAATCAATTTATACCCACATTTAGACGACTTCTTGTTTTTGGTACAACAACTGAAGAAGCTTCCATCTTTCTGCTGAATGACAGTAAGATAATCCCCTCGTTTTATGGCCGTGGATAGCTGTTGTTTTGCGTTCACCTTCTGTATTTCCCGCCCTACTTGACGCGGCTGCCACATAACACAGAGCCAGGGAGACAATGCAGTATTATTCCGTAATGTAGTTTTTTAAGGACACTTTATGGCTTGTCGACATGAAGGAAGAAAATGGGAGACTACAGTATTGTTTACATGAATCTAAAATAGAGGGAGACTACCACGTATTCTTACACCACAGATACAGTCTCTGTAGCAGGCAGCGCCGCAAATGAACAGCGGAGAATACAAAATATCTCACGCGCATCACCTGTTTCACGCATATAGCTGATGTTCACTTAGATCAAAACAAGGGAAGTAAAATGGACACTGGCTTAAGAGAAAGGGAGCACTTGCTCAATTTAAAAGGTAGATATTTGTGATTATTTGTCCTATCCTTACTCGATGCTTTCCCATGCTGTCTTTAATGACTCTATGTGGTTGTTTTGGTTTTGTTAGGTTCTGATCATAACTACTGTAATTCTTGTTTTTATGTTAAGTGATGAGGCTGACAAGACCATCGTTGTTCACAAGTGTTCCCGTGACAAACGAGTCTCAAGATCTACCAGGTTTGGTATTTGATTTAAATTAATCCATGTGCTCTGTGAAATACCCAGCTGAAAAGACATGAGTATCATATTATTAAAGGAAATATTTAGAACCTATGAATAAGGGAGTACTTTAGGTTATGATATAATTTTTTTCTATATATAGAATAAGAGAGATGGTAAGTTCTGAGCTTGGTAAAGAAATAGAGAAAGATGTTTTTTGTCTTGTCATGAGCGTGGGACAAAGAAAAAATTCAAGTCCCCATGAGAAATCGAACCTCAGACCTTTGAATTGCATGCTCTGATGCCCTACCACTGAGCCACAGAGACTCTATAGGGATGAGGTCTATTACAAAGTTCATATGACACATATCCTGCATACTGTTAGGATCAGACACTGCTGATGCTATTAACATTGCTGATCCTAAAGGTATGCAGGACACGTGTCATATGGACTTCATAATGGACCTTGCTCACTGTAGAATCTCTGTGGCTCAGTGGTAGAGCATCACAATGCAGAATTCAAAGGTCTGAGCTTCAATTTCTCAAGGGGACTTGAATTTTTTTCTTTGCCCCACGCTCTTGACATGACAAAAAACATTTTTCTCTATTTCTTTACAGTGCTCAAAATTCACCATCTCTCTTATTCTATTTACAAACATGACACTATCAACATTGCTGATCTTAGCAATATGCAGGATGCGTGTCATATGAACTTTGTAATAGACCTTGCTCACCGTAGAGTCTCTGTGGCTCAGTGGTAGAGCATGGGAGCTCAGAGTCTGAAGGTCTTGAATTGGATTCCTCATGGGGACTCAGAATTTTTTCTTTGTTCTACACTCATGACAAAACGAAAAACATCTTTCTTAAATTTTTTTTTTCAGGGAATACTTTGGAGGTTGCACACACAGCAGACATAACATCTGTAAAGGGACTCAGTAAATTCGCTTTGGGTGAATTGTTTGTCTTGCCTCACACATTTGGGTGAGTGTTAGCAATGGATGTGTTATCCACATTCTATGTGTTTCTGATAGACTGTCTGTCTGTAGTCATCTTTTGGAGGTATGTTAGTTTAGAACTACATATCTGTTTAACATCTGTCTATTTTGCCTTATAGAAATATCTTCCTTGGCGAAGTATTTTCAAGTTATGTCAGTGTTCATAATGACAGTAACCAACCAGTCAAAGATATTGTAATTAAGGTAGAACTTTTGCCTCTAATATACAGTAGTACTTCTGTTTATGACATACCTAAAGGATAGAACAGTAGACAGGAAGTGTGACCAACAGATCAACATACTTTATGGACTGAACAGTAAACAGGAAGTGTGATCAATAGATCAGATAAATAGACACACTGACAGGTAGGCTAACTATTACAAACAAGCCAATTCACAGCCAAGCAGACACATAGGTTAGCTTGCCACTAAAGTAACTAGTGAAACAAACAGAGAGCAGGCAGGCAGAAGTTTTCAGACAGAATAAGAAAAAGAAAATGGAGAATTCCACAAACACCTGGAAAAATTAGTACGGTAATGATCAGATAGGGACATTCATCAAGTTCAAACAAATACAGCATAAACTTTCCCAAAACACTGTTGATGATTTTTGAATTTCTTAAAGTATTATTTAATGAAAAAAGGAAAAGCTTTGATCACAAGATATAATAAATTTCAGACTGACCTCCAGACGTCATCTCAGAGATTGAATTTATCAGGCACAGCTAACATGCCAGTGTCTAAACTGGATCCTGAGGAGAGTTTTGATCAGGTTATTCAACATGAAGTAAAAGAACTTGGGACACATATGTAAGTTGTGTGATACCATTTAATTTCTTATCAGCACAATCTTTTACTTTTATCACACAGAAATTAGCAATACAAGTGAAGTGATAACTCATTCAGTCATGCAATTTTGTTGGTTTATTTTTACAGCCTTGTGTGTGCTGTGAATTATGCCACTTTAACAGGAGAGAAGATGTACTTTAGGAAATTCTTTAAATTCCAGGTGATTTAATTTGTTATCATGACTACATGTACATCCTGTGTTACACTGTTAATTTATCAGTTCAAATCACATTAATTATCATGTGTGAACATGATGTGATTATTTTACACCTTTGCTCATTGTACTTATGGGACAAACTATTTATCAGGATGTATTTGGTAATTTTAACAAATAGAGATATTTTATATTTTAAAAAATTGATGGAAAGTGTTTTGTACCTTTGTTAGAAAAACAACTAGCTATTAAAATAATTTGTTTCCCTAGGTCCTCAAACCTCTTGATGTGAAAACAAAATTTTACAATGCTATGGTATGGTAAGCAATGTTAGAAAAGATGATCTAACAAATATTTCAATGTGCATGAGTTAGTTACTACATGCATGGTAGACTGACTCCTAATGCTTGATTTTTCTAAGGGTGATGAAGTATTTCTTGAAGCTCAAGTACAAAACATAACATCAAGTCCAATGGTTATGGAGTCTGTTAGACTAGAGCCATCAGCAGTGTATACTGTTACAGATCTTAACTCTATTATGATTGATCCTAAACGAGGGGATGGTGATGGGTGAGTGTTGTCATACATTAAACATTGTAGTTCATTGTGGCGCGGCACTCTAAGTCAGTTTGTCTGAGTTTGTTAAAGTGTTTTGTGAACCTGTCACTTGGTTTTGATACACTGAAGCTAATCTTAAGATTGTCTCTACTCTTATGTTAGAGAGGAGAGTATAACAGAAAGTATATTTGGTCAGGGCTCTTACATGAACCCAAATGATACCAGACAATATCTGTACAGGCTGGCACCAGTAGCTAACATGAGCAAAAATGTCAAGGTATACAACATGATTTAAATGCACTTTTTGTGGTGAAGTAATACTCTAAGCTCCAGATATTTGTGGAGGAAAAAATTGAAACATTTAATGGCATTCTTTGTTGAAGGTAGCTAATGTTGTTGGCAAGTTGGATATCGTGTGGAGAACAGCTTTTGGAGAAAGAGGAAGACTGCAAACTAGTCAACTTCAGAGAGTGGTGGGTGTATTATATGTCTAACATGAGTGGAGGGAGGCCACCTAACAAAGAATAATTTACTGCTGAGAACTCAAGGAATAGGGAGTTTGTGTGTATAAGAGGTTGTCTTAAGACAGGATTTGGCACAACTTTAGCTTGTTTGAAAGATTCTTCCAGAAAGATTATTTTTTGCATATCCAGAATAGATGCACCTAGCTCTACTCATTCATTGAACATGCATGTTATAAGACAGGGCAAGAGATTAATTGCTTTTGATCAATTTTAGGCTCCTCCAGTGTTAGATATCAAAATGAGTGTCGTCCAAATCCCAGATGCGGTGTTAGTGGAAAAAAGGTTTCCAGTCAAACTTTCACTAAGAAATACATGGTAAGATCTTCAATTGATATTAACATGTATAAGTTGGTGTGATTTATGCTTATTTTGCTGATAACATTTGGTTTGTTTGCTACTTAGTGAAAGGAAGATGGATCTTAAACTTTTTATGACAAAAAGTAAAGATGGTGGACTAATGTGGTGTGGAACATCTGGCAAGGTACAGTAGGTGTAGCTAAATAAAAATGGTAATGTAAATAAGGGGTTGTTTCTTGATTGCCACCAGAGTTTGTGACAAGTTCTCAGGGTTATAAATTATAGTGGATTCAGTATGTGTGCTGCTTTGTCTTAGGACTAAACATAAATACAAAATGTGATAAGAACATCAGTGGCACACTCAGCTGTGCCTCGTGTGCCACTTTTTTGTTCGTTTCACATTTTGACCTCCTCTGTGATCTATTACTGAACAGACGCAAGGCAACTTGGAATCTATTTGTTTTATATAATAAAGAGTTAAAATATAAGGAAAAAAAGTTTGAATGATGACATCAGCTATGTCTGTCCTCCAATAGATCATAAGTGAGAACCAATCAGAATGCGTGCATAGCTGAACTTATTATATAATTATAAATATAATTAATTTGTTTATTAATCTATGGTGATATGCAATGTACATGAGAATAACAGTAGGAAAAGCACTTATCACAAAGAGATATTGTTCTTATTATAGCATGTGTACCTGTTTGTTAGCATATATCAACAACAGAGCATCTTTCAGTCTTTTCTCTGCCATTAATTTTGCAAGTTCCTCATGAGCCTCTTCAATACGCTCTAAATTGTTACTGTCAATCACAAAGATCACAGCTAAAATATAGAAATACAAAAAATTCAACCAAAGTAAGAAACAGCAATTAGATTGTATACTTGCATGTAACAAAATACTTTTCTTACGTACCAGCTAATATTACTGTTTACAGGAAATACGTTACTACCCTGCAAGAATTTTAGTGCCCTAATAACCTAGCTCAGAGTTACAAAATGAAGTTCTGATGAAATTTCTGTTCAAACAGTTATTTGGACAAAATGGAAACTGTACACTAAACCATTAACCTATTGAACTTATCATTATGATAGTAAAATGGACCTACATGTACATAACAAAGTTAGGCCCTCAACAGCATAAATGCCAAATTTACCAAACAACCTTCATTTCTTGTGATTCTAACCTTGTGTGTTAAGGTAATAATGTCTCCAAAGTGGACGGAGTTTCTGCAGACCACCAACATCCCAAAGAGTAAACTTTAAACTGCGATGTTCAACAGTTTCCACATTGAATCCTGTCAAAAATATAGAAAATTAAGGAAGAGGAAGTTTAGCTGTATCAAGTTAAACACCAAAAAATACAATTTCCTCCAGCTCTCCAGCAAACAACCACTCACTGCTATCTCAGTTATACAAGACTTTCCACATTTTTGCTTTCAAAGTCACCAAAATGCACATTTCTCCCACCAACAAGTTCAGGAAATGTTCAGGTTTGTTACTCCATTTTTTTTTTTAGGGAATCAAGGACTACATACATCACTGAGGCAGTAAACAACTTAATTAACAGAAAACTTGACCATTCAATGAACCATTTATTAGAACTCAAAGACAGTGTGTCCCAAAAACAGGCCACTGCGAAGCTAGTCTGCAATGATGAAACACCTAAAATTTTCAGCCACACAGCTAGTGGCTTGTTGTCTGTCCTTAAATACCCATCAAAAAATGAGAGTAATTCCAATGAGCAAGACTATCAGAGAGGGTAAGCTCAAGAGTAGGAGGAGAAACTGTGTGGTAAATACCACATCCAATCACCTAATCCATGAAGTAAAAGGACAAATTAAAACAAAAAAGGTCCCATATGTAACTCTTGAAGTCTCTTCTATCTATAGCCAGGCATTCTTTCCCCATTCCAATCTAGTTAATCAAAGCACATTCAATTAAAATAGATTAGGGTAAAAACAATTACCAATTGTTGTTATGGGCGAGACAAACTCATCATGCTTCATTTTAAATAAAATTGAAGTCTTTCCTGCTCCATCAAGTCCCAGTGCAACTACTCTCATTTCCATTTTTGGGCCTATGTGGACCCTATTGTCTTTTGTAAAGGCAACAGGGATGGCAGCATCTGTGTCACAGAGGCTAGCAATGTTGGTGAACTGCTCCTGCTGGTCTTGTACTGTTTCCAAAAGACTGTGGATACTGTTTCTGGCTTCTATTACCTTTAAAGGTTGAAAGAAATTGATACTTAAATAGTGAAATGTTTATATCATGAAGTACAACCATTAATAACAAATTCCATAAAACTGAAATTTACTGAATCTGGTATTACATCCTGCCACAGGTAAAACAGATTAATTTACATATCTAGTGAATTCTTTTAACTTCTGAGCAATATTGAAAACCAAACATTCTTTTATGTAGGTCAATAGGTGAATAGCATGAATAGCTTTTCCTAAAACCTTAAAGTAGCTAATAAATGTGGTTCAAAATTTTCCTTTCTTTTAAATTGTATCATATTAACATGATTTCTTTCATTCTTTCCAGATTAAGGAATTATGTAAAAAAAAAACCAAGACAAAAATAAATAAATAATAGTAATAAAAAAAAACAAAAACAAAAACAAAAAATAGGCAGTCAGAGACTACATGTGGCTACTGATGTAGTAAAATTTCTAGAGCATTGAAAAGAACTTGAGGTATTATAATGATGAAGCAGTGTTGAAGAATATTTGTATCCATATGCAAAAACATGCCCCATCACACATATTTATAAGTACCCTGTTCCACAAGAGAAAGATGATGTGAGAATATAGTGACTAATTGACATTCAACCAATAATTAAATGGTAAAATATAATCATACCAACAAAAGTTATAGTAATCATTACCATAACTTTTGTTGGTATGATTATATTTTACCATTTAAACAATAGTAATAGTGATTAATTTATGGGGGGTAGCTCAAGAAACTCAAAGTTTCCACAATGTGCAGATGTGTTGATCACACCTATTTACTTAGATATTTCTACAAGGAAGAGTTTTGTTTTCAATTAAATGCAGGAGAAACAACTTTAATATTATTTAGAGATGTTTATCATCTCTTTCAGGGTCACAATAAGAACTGATAACATAGGCATGCATAGCATACAAGACTTATTTTTTTACTTGGGTAGATCAAGATGGGAAACTTTGTGTTCCTAATGTTTTCATAACTTTTTTATGGGGGGTGGCTCAAGAAACTCAAAGTTTCCACAATATGCAGATGTGCTGATCACACTCATTTACTTAGATATTTCTGCAAGGAAGAGTTTTGTTTTCAATTACATGTTGAAGAAACAACTTTAAAATTATTTGGAGATGTTTATCATCTCTTTCAGGGTCACAATAAGAACTGAAAACATAGGTATGCATAGCATACAAGAGTTATTTTTTTTACCTGGGTAGGTCAAGATGGGAAACTTTGTGTTCCTAATGTTTTCATAACTTTCAAAATAATAAAAATATTGCATTACTTCATTTCAAGAGAAAGAGAAAAAACATATTTTATATATACTCACACAGGTATTTTGTGGTCTTTAGTCCCTGTTATCTAAAAACTCTACAGTTAGTTGCCTCAAAAATATAATTCCACGTAATTTTGCTGTGAATGTAAAATTCTGTCTCTTCAGAGAAAAAATTTCCTAAGTATTCATAATGTGCCAATCATACCTTTTAAGATATTTCTGCAAGAAATTTCTGAAATTATTATGAGATGTTAACTGAAAAAAAATTATAATTTGGGATTCTTTCAGGCACTAGGTGATTTTTTTCAAAGGCATTCTTCTTTCTTTATTGTATGCTGTGCCCAATAATCTCTAATGAGAAGGTCAAACTACATAGATACTCCAAAATAGACAAAATGCACCACCTGGTAAAAATCGGGTGAAGTTTGGCATTCTCATCTTTCTTCCCATCACTCACTCACTCACTCATTTCAATTACATACAGTAAGTAGCTTTGCCTCCTACAAGAGGATGTAGCCACAACAAAGAGTAAGATTGAAATATAAAACACAAATTAGTTTGAAAGATTTCACACCAAGAAAAATATTTTTATCAAAACTCAGCCATTCAAAATGGAAATAAAGCAATCTGAATTGGTATGGAACATGATAACTTTTGTAAACCAGGGAGAACATTACAAAGATGAGATCTCACATTGCTCTCCAAAATTCTGCTGCAATTTCAACCTTGACTTCTTAGATTTCTTCTGTTTCTCACTTTTCATCACAAGGAAAAAAAACCTTTGTTTACTATTTTCCTTAACCCCACAACTCTTTCAAGAAGTCAATTTGAGATTGTTAATTTGAGATTGTAAACTTATCCTATATACAAACACACTAGATATACATCCTGGGCAGTTAATGAGTCTTCTTACATACTAGAACCTAGTGTAAGGACAATACAAGTGGTTCACAAGAGTGGTAGGTGATAAGGGCTTTGCTATGAGACACATGTGCAGAAGTTAATGTCACAAGTTGTAGTTTTAAGTACCAGGGAAGGGCAACAATTCAACTCCTGTGTTAATATAAAATTAATGTTATAAAATAACATTACCTCAGCATCACTCCTCTTGAGTGCTCTGTCACACTCAACACAGACAGATGTTACTTGCGACATCAAAACAGCCATGTCCTCCTGTTGTTGTCTGAGTGACAGTAGTTTCTCTCTCACATAATTATTAACAACAGCAAGTCCAGCCTCCTCTTGTCGGTTGACTGTTTCTCGTAGATCATCAAAATATGCTCGCACTTTACTTCTTGCATCTTCTGCAGTTCCAGCAACATGTTGCGCAACGAGATTTCCTCGTTCATCCTCTTGCATCAACACCCCACCTTTAATTTGAGGGAAATGACAATTTACAACATTTTCCTAATCGCTTTCACTGAAGATCACTATGATCTTTGGGGGGGTAAATTTTTTTTACCATATTGAGAGAGCAAGGCAAGGTCTGACTTGACAACTTTGTTGCTGCTTCACAAACTCTTTTACAAGGCAAATCAAAATTACATCATGAATAGGTTATTAAAAACCAATAGCCTTATGCATCCACCAAAAACTTGAAAACCCAAAACATGTTCAACAACTTTGTGCAACAAACCTTCAATTGCTTCAATAACTGAAGAAAGCCTTGCAGCTGACCCATCAACTTCATCAGTAAAGGTTCTAACATGCTGTATGACTTTGGTCACAGAGGCACGCATGTTCTCTGCTTCATTCTCAAGTAGAGTATGCTTATGTCCCTGATGTTTACCATAATCTCGACACACAAAGCACATCAGTGAGTTATCTTGACATTCTTCCTCTAAACATGTGAATTCTATGACATGAGCTGAGTGTTGTAGACATTTTGGCTTTTCTTTGGGTTTCTCAGAAATGGGAATTCTTCTGTGCTTCACTAGAGTTTTGGTGGAGTGAGTACCCTCTGCACATTCACCACACAAGTTAGTTTCACAAACAGTACAGTATATGTTGGCAATGTGCTCTTCATTTTCATCACATCTAACAGTGTCATCTCTGCTCTCACTGTCACTTATTACTGATGGTTCTTGTAGCACTTGAAGACGTTCTAACAGTTCCAACAATGCAAAATTTTTCTTTAAACCCCAGACTCCAGAGTCACCCAGTTCAGTTGACTGTCTGTCAAAGGGACAGTGAAGTTTGTGCCCAAGGACTGGTAGCCGAGTCAAACAGTCATGACAGACAGTGTGTCCACACAATAATAACCTTGGAACTTTGTCACCTTGAAGGGTGAATACATCTTCACAAACTCGACACTCTAACACCTGAAATTGATAAACATCACAGTGCTTACAATATCTCGTACTCCATTATATAATGATCAATAATCCAGTTCACAAACAATAATAGCTACAAAGCGATTGTTATATATTTACCCAAAATGCAGCAGTTAAATTATCATGCTGTCAGGTTTGTTGTTAAATTTCCATGTCCTAAGGCATTTTCAGTTCAGATGAGGGGACCATGAATGTGATTGGTTATCACCAGCCTGATTTGAACACTACTTGGACAGAGTATGCATCATGCATGTAATTGGAAGGAATAATTGAACAGTGCTTGTGTCATGCTTATGTAAGACAGCACGCATCATGTGTGCACACTGTTGTTGCACATTTCCCTGAGTTAACTGTGGTTTTTTTAATTAAAATTTACAACTACTGGTTAGTTTGTTTAAACAATTTTATCACAGTTTTGATTAATTTGTATTGGGACTTTGTGTCATCCAATTCAATTTGTAATCATACTCATAATAAACAAATCAGACCCTAACTTTGCAGGTGTGCAATTTCATAAAACACTTGTATGATTTTAGACCATATTCAACTCCACTCAGTCTTAATACCTTTACTCTTATTACCACTAATTATATTTGTTAATGGAGACTCTGGAGGAGCAAGTATGACATTAATTGCCTCAGTGAAGAACGAGACAGCTTTGTTGCATAATTTGCCATAAAAATATATTACAAAAATTTATATTCAGCAAGGTGTCAGTGAAAAAGAGCAGATATTACCCTTGCCACTTAATAACCATAGCTTGTTAAACATACTCTTTAACACTATTTACCTACACTTAGGTGAAAAAAAATTGTGCTGTTAGAAGAAGCCAACCACCCCAGCAGTTTGTCCTCGCCTACAATGTGCATGTTTGCAGTAAGTTTTTTTTTCTAATTAAGTTTGATAAAAACAAAAAAGTCACGACTAAGTTTCTCTCGATCTTTTTTCCAGGTTTTTGCTAATTTTAGAACTTGATTTAGGCTGAAGTTTGCCATATTGATTGATAACACACAGAAAATGACTTGGACAGAAACAATACTGTGCTGAAAAGGGTAAGTTGAAGGTTAATTTCTCATTCTCCAAGTTCTCGGTTTTGCTTTTAACCCAGGGAAAACACATCTACACTCATATGAAAGTATTTTGGATCGTCAGCCGGTTTTCTTTTCCTATCTTTAATTTTGCAGCTATATATTATTAACCAATCAATTTATACCCACATTTAGACGACTTCTTGTTTTTGGTACAACAACTGAAGAAGCTTCCATCTTTCTGCTGAATGACAGTAAGATAATCCCCTCGTTTTATGGCCGTGGATAGCTGTTGTTTTGCGTTCACCTTCTGTATTTCCCGCCCTACTTGACGCGGCTGCCACATAACACAGAGCCAGGGAGACAATGCAGTATTATTCCGTAATGTAGTTTTTTAAGGACACTTTATGGCTTGTCGACATGAGGGAAGAAAATGGGAGACTACAGTATTGTTTACATGAACCTAAAATAGAGGGAGACTACCACGTATTCTTACACCACAGATACAGTCTCTGTAGCAGGCAGCGCCGCAAATGAACAGCGGAGAATACAAAATATCTCACGCGCATCACCTGTTTCACGCATATAGCTGACGTTCACTTAGATCAAAACAAGGGAAGTAAAATGGATACTGGCTTAAGAGAAAGGGAGCACTTGCTCAATTTAAAAGGTAGATATTTGTGATTATTTGTCCTATCCTTACTCGATGCTTTCCCATGCTGTCTTTAATGACTCTATGTGGTTGTTTTGGTTTTGTTAGGTTCTGATCATAACTACTGTAATTCTTGTTTTTATGTTAAGTGATGAGGCTGACAAGACCATCGTTGTTCACAAGTGTTCCCGTGACAAACGAGTCTCAAGATTTACCAGGTTTGGTATTTGATTTAAATTAATCCATGTGCTCTGTGAAATACCCAACTGAAAAGACATGAGTATCATATTATTAAAGGAAATATTTAGAACCTATGAATAAGGGAGTACTTTAGGTTATGATATAATTTTTTTCTATATATAGAATAAGAGAGATGGTAAGTTCTGTGCTTGGTAAAGAAATAGAGAAAGATGTTTTTTGTCTTGTCATGAGCATGGGACAAAGAAAAAATTCAAGTCCCCATGAGAAATCGAACCTCAGACCTTTGAATTGCATGCTCTGATGCCCTACCACTGAGCCACAGAGACTCTATAGGGATGAGGTCTATTACAAAGTTCATATGACACATATCCTGCATACTGTTAGGATCAGACACTGCTGATGCTATTAACATTGCTGATCCTAAAGGTATGCAGGACACGTGTCATATGGACTTCATAATGGACCTTGCTCACTGTAGAATCTCTGTGGCTCAGTGGTAGAGCATCACAATGCAGAATTCAAAGGTCTGAGCTTCAATTTCTCAAGGGGACTTGAATTTTTTTCTTTGCCCCACGCTCTTGACATGACAAAAAACATTTTTCTCTATTTCTTTACAGTGCTCAAAATTCACCATCTCTCTTATTCTATTTACAAACATGACACTATCAACATTGCTGATCTTAGCAATATGCAGGATGCGTGTCATATGAACTTTGTAATAGACCTTGCTCACCGTAGAGTCTCTGTGGCTCAGTGGTAGAGCATGGGAGCTCAGAGTCTGAAGGTCTTGAATTGGATTCCTCATGGGGACTCAGAATTTTTTCTTTGTTCTACACTCATGACAAAACGAAAAACATCTTTCTTAAATTTTTTTTTTCAGGGAATACTTTGGAGGTTGCACACACAGCAGACATAACATCTGTAAAGGGACTCAGTAAATTCGCTTTGGGTGAATTGTTTGTCTTGCCTCACACATTTGGGTGAGTGTTAGCAATGGATGTGTTATCCACATTCTATGTGTTTCTGATAGACTGTCTGTCTGTAGTCATCTTTTGGAGGTATGTTAGTTTAGAACTACATATCTGTTTAACATCTGTCTATTTTGCCTTATAGAAATATCTTCCTTGGCGAAGTATTTTCAAGTTATGTCAGTGTTCACAATGACAGTAACCAACCAGTCAAAGATATTGTAATTAAGGTAGAACTTTTGCCTCTAATATACAGTAGTACTTCTGTTTATGACATACCTAAAGGATAGAACAGTAGACAGGAAGTGCGACCAACAGATCAACATACTTTATGGACTGAACAGTAAACAGGAAGTGTGATCAATAGATCAGATAAATAGACACACTGACAGGTAGGCTAACTATTACAAACAAGCCAATTCACAGCCAAGCAGACACATAGGTTAGCTTGCCACTAAAGTAACTAGTGAAACAAACAGAGAGCAGGCAGGCAGAAGTTTTCAGACAGAATAAGAATAAGAAAATGGAGAATTCCACAAACACCTGGGAAAATTAGTACGGTAATGATCAGATAGGGACATTCATCAAGTTCAAACAAATACAGCATAAACTTTCCCAAAACACTGTTGATGATTTTTGAATTTCTTAAAGTATTATTTAATGAAAAAAGAAAAAGCTTTGATCACAAGATATAATAAATTTCAGACTGACCTCCAGACGTCATCTCAGAGATTGAATTTATCAGGCACAGCTAACATGCCAGTGTCTAAACTGGATCCTGAGGAGAGTTTTGATCAGGTTATTCAACATGAAGTAAAAGAACTTGGGACACATATGTAAGTTGTGTGATACCATTTAATTTCTTATCAGCACAATCTTTTACTTTTATCACACAGAAATTAGCATTACAAGTGAAGTGATAACTCATTCAGTCATGCAATTTTGTTGGTTTATTTTTACAGCCTTGTGTGTGCTGTGAATTATGCCACTTTAACAGGAGAGAAGATGTACTTTAGGAAATTCTTTAAATTCCAGGTGATTTAATTTGTTATCATGACTACATGTACATCCTGTGTTACACTGTTAATTTATCAGTTCAAATCACATTAATTATCAAGTGTGAACGTGATGTGATTATTTTACACCTTTGCTCATTGTACTTATGGGACAAACTATTTATCAGGATGTATTTGGTAATTTTAACAAATAGAGATATTTTATATTTTAAAAAATTGATGGAAAGTGTTTTGTACCTTTGTTAGAAAAACAACTAGCTATTAAAATAATTTGTTTCCCTAGGTCCTCAAACCTCTTGATGTGAAAACAAAATTTTACAATGCTATGGTATGGTAAGCAATGTTAGAAAAGATGATCTAACAAATATTTCAATGTGCATGAGTTAGTTACTACATGCATGGTAGACTGACTCCTAATGCTTGATTTTTCTAAGGGTGATGAAGTATTTCTTGAAGCTCAAGTACAAAACATAACATCAAGTCCAATGGTTATGGAGTCTGTTAGACTAGAGCCATCAGCAGTGTATACTGTTACAGATCTTAACTCTATTATGATTGATCCTAAACGAGGGGATGGTGATGGGTGAGTGTTGTCATACATTAAACATTGTAGTTCATTGTGGCGCGGCACTCTAAGTCAGTTTGTCTGAGTTTGTTAAAGTGTTTTGTGAACCTGTCACTTGGTTTTGATACACTGAAGCTAATCTTAAGATTGTCTCTACTCTTATGTTAGAGAGGAGAGTATAACAGAAAGTATATTTGGTCAGGGCTCTTACATGAACCCAAATGATACCAGACAATATCTGTACAGGCTGGCACCAGTAGCTAACATGAGCAAAAATGTCAAGGTATACAACATGATTTAAATGCACTTTTTGTGGTGAAGTAATACTCTAAGCTCCAGATATTTGTGGAGGAAAAAATTGAAACATTTAATGGCATTCTTTGTTGAAGGTAGCTAATGTTGTTGGCAAGTTGGATATCGTGTGGAGAACAGCTTTTGGAGAAAGAGGAAGACTGCAAACTAGTCAACTTCAGAGAGTGGTGGGTGTATTATATGTCTAACATGAGTGGAGGGAGGCCACCTAACAAAGAATAATTTACTGCTGAGAACTCAAGGAATAGGGAGTTTGTGTGTATAAGAGGTTGTCTTAAGACAGGATTTGGCACAACTTTAGCTTGTTTGAAAGATTCTTCCAGAAAGATTATTTTTTGCATATCCAGAATAGATGCACCTAGCTCTACTCATTCATTGAACATGCATGTTATAAGACAGGGCAAGAGATTAATTGCTTTTGATCAATTTTAGGCTCCTCCAGTGTTAGATATCAAAATGAGTGTCGTCCAAATCCCAGATGCGGTGTTAGTGGAAAAAAGGTTTCCAGTCAAACTTTCACTAAGAAATACATGGTAAGATCTTCAATTGATATTAACATGTATAAGTTGGTGTGATTTATGCTTATTTTGCTGATAACATTTGGTTTGTTTGCTACTTAGTGAAAGGAAGATGGATCTTAAACTTTTTATGACAAAAAGTAAAGATGGTGGACTAATGTGGTGTGGAACATCTGGCAAGGTACAGTAGGTGTAGCTAAATAAAAATGGTAATGTAAATAAGGGGTTGTTTCTTGATTGCCACCAGAGTTTGTGACAAGTTCTCAGGGTTATAAATTATAGTGGATTCAGTATGTGTGCTGCTTTGTCTTAGGACTAAACATAAATACAGACAGCTTATAGGGTTAGTGCCATTGTTTTTTAATGCCTTGATAATGTCAGTTGTTTTTACATTTGCAATTAATTTTTAGAGTCTTGGTTTTCTACCCCCTGGAAATTCAGTGGAACTGCTACTTAACCTCCTTCCACTTGCTGCTGGATTGCAAGTAAGTGAAGTTTGTTCATTTTGTGTAAAACTATGTCAAAAATAGGAAAATCCATTGATGTAATATGTCCACAATGACTTTGGAAACTATGATGCCTGGTTTGAATTCATGATATGATTTCCTGAATGCAATTATTATTTTTCTCCACAAGTGCAAGTCCAGTAGGAATAAAATTATATTTACATTTTCTCTTCAGAGTGTTGGAGGATTGCAGATAGTGGACTGTCTTTCTTCACGTACATACGAGCTGGATAACTTGTCCCAAGTGTTTGTTTACTCATCAGAAGTCTCACCATTTTTGCACCAGTATTAAAGGAATTTAAAAATTAAGACTGAAATGTACATTCGAAAGTGAATGGTTCATCAAACAATAGGAGAATTTTTATCTGTAGTCCTACTGAAAGAAATAAATGAAACCAAAAAATACTAGATGCCAGCTGACTGTTCATTGGTGTTTGGTCAATTTTGCACTATTTGATAGTGTAGTCTGATTGTGTGCCTGAGGGTAGTCCTGAAAAGGATTGTTCTTTGTAATTGACTGAGATTTCAACAACTTTAGTTGAAGTCAACAGCAGAAACAAGGCTGAGCGTAAGGTTAATGAAACCTCAGACACTGCCATCTACATCTGACATTCTTGTAAGTGCTCTCAGGAGGACAATCAGATTATGTGCTACCACACAGTTCAAAGCATTAAATAAAATTAATTTTGTTCAAGTGATCCTGTTAAAAAATAGTTACTTCACATGCCTGCTTTATCACAGTAATCTTACAAACTTCTCATGTTTTTATTATAATACAAGTTCTTGGCACATGCTAATATCAACCTCTGTCTTTTTACAAGTGCCTGCTCACTCTACTTCATACAATAAAATACAGGAACAGCAAAAACACTGTATATAAAGCCTCTCCTCAACTGAGTTCAATTAAGTTTCATATCAAATTCCAGTCTACCCCATCACTAAGTTTACTTTTACAATGTTCTGTACAATCAATGTTTGATGTGTTATACTAATGCTTGCACCCATCAAATACATTTTTCTAGGACTCGAGTGACCATGTTTGCTGCTTTCCATTGGAAAACTCAACCTAAAAACTCGTCTCAACAACTGCAATTGATCAAAGGATAAATTCTCAGTTAGATTTGAATTTTGTTCAGTAGTAACACCACTGGAGTCTTGTTCATCTAAGAGTGTCTAAAGATTATATTGGGCAATTTAAAAGTTTTACTAGCAACTTGATCTCAACATTTACAAACAGGTATGGGAAGAAAAACATTTTTTTCGTTGACTTTTTCTTAATGATGCACTGACATCCTCATTCCAAGCTGTTCCTTAGTCATAGGGAGGATAGGGACCCTAGGAATGTGGTCAATCCCCCTCAGACAAACAATTATCAAATCTAGATACAACTATTCACTGAGAAGGTGAAAGCTTATGCACAACACAATATCACAGTGATATTGTGGACCATCCACTACGGTAATTTCCACTACAACAAAATGCCAACTTAATCCTCTGACACCTATGACTACTAGCATCTAGTTTCTTCTCACAATATCACTCCTTAATCACACATAAAGGTCATGAGAATGAGGGAAATGATCACTGAGGAACTTCTAAATTTGTAAACAATTTTCCCTTGCCAGAACCTTAGAAAATGTCTAGGGAACAGTTTGGCGAAGATGCATACTGATATTAAGGTGCAAAGGTTTAAAAGGAGTACATTACCTCAGGATTCGCTTCCATAAACTATCATTAGCCTAGTAAATATTATTTGCTATGCCAGTGTCTGCTTCATTGAGATTTGTGTAACTGAGTTTCACAGGAAATGGTGGCCAATCAGACTTTATATTTTGTTGAATAGTAACAACTTGGTGGTTAGCCACTGGAGCAAACAGTATCCCTGTGTTGCTGCTTGGGTAATCATGACAATATTGTATTCAACTTAAATTGTACTACACATCAAATATGAAGCATTTGACCAGTAAATCAAACACCTTGATTGGAAGAAGATTGTAGCATATACTGAAATTACAATGTTGAGTTGATAAAAACAAGTGATTGACATTTAACTCAATTTTCTAACTGTCACAGTTGTAGTTCATTGATAATGGAAAAAAGGGCATCTTCTGCAGGCTAATTGACTTCATCAGTAAAAAGGACAGCAGGACTCTAATGGAAAAATAGAAAGATGTTAAGTGTTGGAAAAGGGACCTGAAATTATAACTAACAGAACATCTGGGTGCAGTTGTACAAAGGGCGGATAATGCTATCAAACCAATAAATTGCTATCCAGCAGATAAGTGACAGCAAAAGTATAGCATTATCCACCACATAGAGATTTGTTCAGCAGATAGCATTAACTTGTTTCACCCCTGAATTGTTTCCTATAAGGTAGTGCAGCACAACAATAATACTACTAATAATGATGATAATAATAATTGCAATTGCTCTCAAAAAAGAGGCAGGATATGATTTCTTTCAATTAATTACTACTTAAGCCAGTTTTCTTTGTACCTTTTTTCAATTTTCATTTAAGATGAGCTGTGGGATGTTGTCGTTCCTGTATTTCCTTGGTGCTGCTGTGGCCACGTGTGATGTCCCTGATAACTATCAACATCATCCCCCATATTGCCTGCTCCCACCCAGTGTCTTCTTGTTAATGATGAATTGACTGGAACAGTTCCTGCTTAAAGACAAAAAACAAAAAAAAAGAAAATTACCCTTCTCTTGATTGCAAAGAGAGTTATGGGATTATAACTACATACTTGAAATGACACTGGTGAACATGTGGATATAGCATGAAGAATACAATTGTTAATTTCTTCCTAAAAATTAAGTAAGCTGTTCACAGGAAATTATCAGTAATTCAAATTCTGATCGATGGGCTATTCTGCAGAACAAGTCTGGCACAAATTCAGCTGTCATCCCACGACAGTCTTCCTCAATTTTACTTATTCCTTGTCTTTTCACAAGAAAAAATGGGCAATATTAAAATAAGTGATTGAATAGCCCTTGCATTATTGAGTCTTCAAATTGTAATTTGTGTTTCCAGTTCTGAAATGATAACACAGAATTCTACCACCTTCCTACTTCTTTTTGAATAGCCCTTGCATTATTGAGTCTTCAAATTGTAATTTGTGTTTCCAGTTCTGAAATGATAACACAGAATCCTACCACCTTCCTACTTCTCTTGAAAACTGTTATTACTAGTAATTCCCACACATTCAACATACAAAGTCACTGTGCATTTCATAAAGGAAAGTCTATTAATTAAGAATGTTTTATTTCTAAAATACCAGACATTTAACCCCTGTACTTTCTTTCATTTCAAACTTTCATACTTATCTGGTTAAATCCTTTTAACAACAAACCTTCAGTAGTTGAGTGACTTGTTTCTCTGCTGTTAATACTCTGAGAAATATCTCTTTCATCTGTGAAGTGAGAAGTATTCATTTTTTTCTTTCACGTTTACAAAAATCAACACACCGGGCATGATGCACATGAATGATACTACTGTACTGCTCAGATGTATTTCACTGTTGATTATATGAGCTTACCATCATTAATTGGTAAATCAGGGTGTGGATTATTCTCCAGTGCAGGATGATTGGCAATATCATCTATAGCAGGCATATTCACCTCGTCAGTGAGGGCAGCAATAGGATCTGCCAACAGATCCTCTTCAGGATCTGCCTGATGACTCAAGATTACTGGTAATTCATAGTGATGGAAGAAAAATAGCATGGAATGCTGGCAACAAAAATGAAAAAAATCTGTTAGTTCCCATGATAGCCTGAAACAACCACAATCCAGATAAGCCAATTTTTATCTAAGGCTGTCAGCCAGAAGTTGGAAGTTTTTTCTTTGCAACATGGCACAAATCTTCTGATTATGTCTTTAAGTTTAGAATGCCTCTCACACACTCTGCAGCATATTAGTTGACATTTATGCATCAGAAATAGTTGCATTCTCCCTTCCAGCAGCCATTTGTATCTAAAAAATAATTCCCTGATGACCAGATGTAAAATAAACAATATCAAAAATCATCTGTTTTGTAAAAGAAAAAATTGGAGAAATTAGAAAAAAATTAATTGAAAAAGAACAAATGTAGCTAAAAGCATGCACAAGGCTGTAACTTGAGGATGCAAAGTATAACCTTGAAAGCAAAAACTCAAGGAATGTTTTGAGTTGATGTAATTTGAAATTGCATGATATTTCCACAAATTATATATCAAATTGTCCTATGTTTGAGACTTTCTGTCTATTGAGTTCTTTAAAGTTTCTTGCAAGTACTACAGCAAAATGTACTCAGAATAAAAAAAATGACATGTGATTAGTGACATTTTAAGCATAAATGGGGTATGTGTGGTCCATAATATCTCCTACACAAGCACAGTAACCTACCTCTTTTTAAAGTATTTTTCAAAACAGACATTAGTAAGGAGTTGATATATAATATATATATATATAGGAACTCTGGGTTTCGATTTTTCCTAAGTACAGTGCTCGATAAATAGAAGTAGAGCATGATATATATTAGATTTAGAAAAAACAAAGAGACTATACTTTCACTCCTACAAGCCTGTTTCATGATTACTCACTCATCAGGGGATTTTTATAAAGAATTACCTTAGGATATGTTATGCAAGTTAATTACTACTGGTAACAGCTTAGTGGTGAGTATTAGCAAGTTTACCATACCTGAATAAATAACCATGAAGTAACGAGGGCAAGTCCACTATACTGACCATTAAAACGGTAATGATATGCATAAAATGCAAAATGATACAAATAGAAGAACCTGAGGTAGAACAAACGATGGAATAGTTTAACATGATGGTAAAGAGGAACACTCACTTCATTAACTATAGAGCATCACTTGTACCTACCTTAGCCAGAACTTTTTACTCTGTTGAGTATGACAACAAATGGCATCATATTGATCAGCTGTCCATACTATCAGAATGATGTAAAAGCTTGTTGTAGTGTCATTGAAAAACTCTGACATGATAGCTTCCATTCCTGTATGAAAGAATTGTAAATGTTTTATTGAAAGTGCTCTAAGCTAATCTGGCTAATTTTCAAATCCCCAACTGTCAGAAGACAAACCAGTGGCAGAACTGGTAGAAGGAAAATGGGTTACCCTGTTTACATCTGTGGTCCACAAGGGCAAACAATAACTTTTGTGACTTGCTCTTTTTAATGTCAACACTCTACACCTTTTGCAAACTTAGCTGTCAGATCTGTTACCTCCACAAATTTAATTATAAGCCTACGAAGAATCAATATATCACTTACCTACATACAGGGCTAAGCACACAGTCAGCCTAATTTACATTAAGCTAAATCAAATTTTTTTATAACAGTGATAACTAGAGTGTGTCTACAATAAAAAGTATTTTGATTTGGTATAAAAGGTAACTTCGCATATGAGCACCAAGACTATGTACATATACAACATAAGTTACCTACCCACAAGAGAGAGAATGACTGTGAACAAAGGTGCTGCAGGGAATGCTATTGTCACATTTAAATCCAACATCTGAAGCAAATTCACTTGAGTGAACCAGAAAATCAACAATTTAGTATGACTAAAACTGAACCAAACAAGTCTGCTTGGTGTCAAAACTGAAACATGCATGGATTGCATCATTTCTTTCACATCCATGTCCTTTACTATACATCCAAACCTAGGTCTATGCCATTTACAAAATTACAGATTTGTACTAGGAAAGCTTTATGTGTCAAACACAAGAATCTGTGAGGATCATGGCCATGATGAAAGTCTACAGGCTGAATCCTGACACCTCTCATCAATATAATAATAATTGATGAAAAGATCACAATTATAAACCATCAGATATTCCAACTTAACCAGGGACTCACCAATGAAAACAAAGATTTGATGATGGCAATACCTCAAAAGCATTGAAATTGAAATAGTCTGAAAAGAAAATACAATAAAGAGTCAGTGAGTTTACTGCACCTCACTAGTGAGAACATCCCACAGCAAGAAGGTAAAAGTCTGAATGGCTAATTCTCAAGTAGAGATGCGATTGATCAACCCAAACACAACAGTTAAACCTTAACACAACACCAAGTTAATTATCTATTCGTGTACAAGTACATGTAGCTATCAGACAAAATTGACGATTCAACTTTTTAATCTTTTAAAGCTACACTAATTAAGATACAGGCAACAAGCAAAATTACTTACAAAAATAAACATAAGAACAAGAGCCACTAAGTATGATGTGCGTGCCATCCACATACTGACAAAGCGAAAATGATCCCCAGTCACAACGTTACGTAGATAACCTGTTGGGTATGGATAAGTGACTATCAGTAAAGACAAATTTGTTGTTATTTCACATTTTTATTATACATGCATAACAAATCCTTTTCTGCATCAGATTGTTCAAAAGGTGATTAACAATAACACAGGATTAAGTTTAATATGTCCTTGATTTATCTTGAAATAAAATACATATTGGAGCTTATGTTTAGAGGGGTATTGTCTTTGCATATGAAGAACCTGAAGGAAAAATGTAAATTTGTCTGCATACCTAACCCACAGTTACATGTAGCTCAATTAAATGGAAGGGAAAAATAAGATAAAAAACCATAGGTTAACCATTGAAGCAGCCTCTTTAAAGCTGAGATGATTGTTAGTTACTGTGAGAAAATAAAAAATGAAAAATAAAATCATTACTCACCTTTGTTGTCTTCATACTCAGCCAGTCTTTTGACACTTGACATTAATACATCATCATATCCAAGGAATTCATCTAACAAGAAACGACTCAAACTATCTCCAAAACACTGCTCCACTGCAGGGTCTAACAACATACAAGCCACATAATGCATTACCAACAAGTACAGTGGGCTGCTACGAGACAGAATGCGAGGATTCTTTCTCCACAAAGAAATCTTACTATGCCATAAAAGAGATTGCTAATTTTTTTCAATCAGAACATGTATAGTTACATGCAATTATCTCACAATTTTATCCCGTAATATTTAAACCAAATTCAGTCATGAGATTCTAACTTACCAAGTTCAACCACCAAAACAGGAATTCCCAGCTTCTTTCTGGATTCTGAGGAAAGTCTAAGAAAACCATACTCCAAGGCATATTCAACAGCATATTCTTCTTTTCTTTCCTCTAGAAAACAATCAGATTATATACTTAAAATAATTTATGATCCAATATTAGTTGCAACCTTAAAGGACGTTTTATGAAGGCTTTCAAGGCAACACATAGAAGTTCTATGGAAGTTGTACTCAGCTGATGATGACAAGCCTTAACAAGACAACATCACTAACACTTCCCTCCTTGATTGTTGCATATAGAAGATAAACAAACTAAGGTTACCTATTGGGAAACTGAGCACACAAAATGTTAAGTTACAGCCTACCTTCGATCTTGATTGGTGCTAACAGTTCAAAAGCACTTGGCACAACAGTATCCTTTACAGGAAGATGGTTATTCTGTGGCACATTATTAGATGAATGATCATACACATTTCCCACAGATGATGAATAATTCTCTCCTGATTTAAGATTGGCTCCCACATTACTAATATTTACAAGGATATTTTCTGTAATGTTAGCAGAATTAGTGAAATTAGTTCTTGTAGTATCATTTTCAGATAATCTGCTGACAGCTGCATTTCGTGATATGACTACTCTAAGTACTCCATCTCTGGGCCACTGGTCCTTGATCTGGTCCAAACAGTTTATAGGAGTCCTTGAAAATGCATTGTGTATGTAGCCCAGGATTACAAAACAAGTGATAGCCTGACAAAAAAAAGCACAACCAAAGATATTTCAGATCATAAGCACATCCTTTCTCTGAATTCCCAACATCATGAAAGGTAACCGAGTTCACAAAAAGTGATCACTGCAAATTCAATATAGACTGGACACATCTTTGGATAAGAGTTTGCTGGTGCTGCAGTAAGTAGATTTGTTTGTGTCATTACGTACGAGGGCCTCAAATGTGTACATCACAGCAACATCAGAAAGATTTAAAACTTATTGTGACAACTCTAATGGATTAACGAGTTCAGGTTAAACCCCCCCCCCCCAGTTTTAGTATTATTATCCTCCTACTGTTTGCTTTTTCCTCATTTATGTCATATGCAAATTTTATTACTTTCTAGACATGACCTGGTGAAATCTAGAGAACAGTGGCTTTGGCAAACTACTGTAAAAATTAACATAAGTGTTTTCTTATTGCTGAATGCAGTAGGTATGTACTTAAACACTGGTCACTCAATGATGTACAAAGCCTACGCAATTAAAATGTCTTCGTTAATAACAAGCATGAAGACTATCTAACATAGCTTTTATTATGAAATTACATTTACTTGAGTTGTATGGGTTCCATTCCTTGTTCATCATTATGTGAGCCACATAAAAAATAAAATTCAAAGACATTTACCTGGGTAACCAAAAGCACGACTTATTTGTTCTTAAAAAACCCAGAAAATGAACCATGACGTGGGAGAGGGGATAACTTGTTCAGTATTTAACATCTTGCATATCAACAATTACAAAACCTTTAAGGAGAACATAGAGGCCTCAACCATCTATATAAAAGAAAACATGTTTCTAAATACCTTCATGAGCACTCCCATCTCTAAAAGAAGGCGAACAGGCGGAGGAAACGAACGAGCATACATAAGCGCCATTTTGAAAAACAGGGCGCGGAATAATCTGTCGCGGGCATTTATGAGAGGGTTTGTTCCTTCCAATGGCATACTGGCGCTTCTTCAACTTCAAAAAGTATTACAGTTCTTAATGATTGAAGATAATGAACTCTTTAGAAAGTCCACATTGCCACAAGTCTGTTTCATATATGTTAATGTTCATCTTTCCATGCGAATTCTCTTCGCAATGGAGGTTCGTGTTTTGATGACGTATTAGTACCCAGGGCCCAGTTGTTCGAAGGTTGATTAGCGCTAACCCAAGGTTAAATTTTAATCTGAATTTCTTTATTCCTTTATTCAAATGCCTTTTTAGGATAGTTTCTGGTGTTCTTTATAGAGCATCAAATAATCATATTCGTGACAAAAAGAATCCGACTGAATTTTCTCTTAAAGCCATCAGATCTGAAATCAGATTTCACACTAACCCTGGGTTATATTAACCTAGCTAGAACAAGCCGGCCCAGATCCCTATGTTTTTGTGGGCATCATAGGGCATCATAATAGGCCGAGGTGCAGGGATTAGCTGAGCTGAAAGTTACTTTATTGCACAAGTCCTGATAACTCAGATGGACAAACCATTTGGACTAGTACAGTCCTCTATTTTCTTGACCTTGGTGATTTTCCTAAGCCATGGCGCAGCCTTACAAAGAAACGCTACAGTCCTTGTGCTCGGTGGTGGGATATCAGGAATTGCTGCTGCGAAGACATTGAGCGATATGGGAATTAACGATTTTGTGATTTTGGAAGGCACAGATAGAATTGGTGGAAGAATGAGGAAGACGAAATTCCAAGGGACAACTATCGAAATGGGCGCAAACTGGATTCAAGGAGTCAAGGGAAATCCAATCGAGAGACTGAAAGAGATATGTGGATTGCAAGGAAAGGTTGAAAACAGATCATTTGTTATTAGAAATGAAACCGGAAATAACACTACTGAGAGAGGAAAAATGGCCCTTCTGAAACATGAAGAGGATGTATTGAACAAAATGATTGACATGCGCCGGCAGATGGGTGGTGCAGACATTTCTGCTCGAGTTGGTCTGCGTCTTACAGACTGGCTTCCATCAAACCCGGAAGAAATGGCTACAGAGTACTTTGAATATGACTTTGAATATGCTGTTCCACCTAAATACGTTTCTCTCCGTGCAGGAATAGCCAACCATGGAATTATTCATTCAGTGGGTGGGGAACAGTTTTTTGTTACTGACCCTAGAGGATATGTGCATATTGTGGACTGTCTAGCAGGAATGTTTCTGGAACCTGGAGATTCCCGTTTGCAGTTAAACACAACTGTCGAAGAAATAAAATGGAGTGAAAATGGCGTTAATGTCGTCACCGACAATGGAGATGTGTACAATGCAGATTACGCGTTGCTAACTTTTAGTATTGGTGTCCTGCAGAGCGGATTGGTGACGTTCACACCTCAACTCCCTGAGTGGAAGTTAGAAGCTATTTTTAAACTCAGTATGGTGATTTACACCAAGATTTTTATCAAATTTCCGTCAAAATTCTGGGATGATGAAGAATACATTCTCTATGCTTCTCAAAGGAGAGGATACTACACAATGATGCAGAATTTGGAAGCTGATTCTCGGCTACCCAAAGGGACTAACATTCTACTGATAACTGTCACAGAGGAAGAGTCTGTTAGGCTGGCCTACCAGTCCAATGAAAAGACCCAAGAAGAAATCATGGAAGTATTAAGAGGTATGTATGGAAAGAACATTCCAGAGCCAATAGACATTTACTATCCCAGATGGGGACTTGACAGGTATTTTTTTGGATCCTGGGCAAACCTACCCATTGGAATTTCTAGGCAAGACTATGTTAATCTTCAGGCACCAGTCAAGCAGGTGTTTTTTGCCGGAGAAGCAACACATGAGTTGTACAATGGTTACGTCCATGGTGGATACTTGACAGGAGTGGAGCAAGCAAAAAACATAGCAAAGCATGTAAAAACTGGATCTTTTAATGATGAAAACAAGGCAGTCATCTAACAGTAATGTGTCTAAATAGAAAATGTATGCCGGAGGACAGCACTAATTTAAATCAAAAACAAATTGAATCAAGATGACCTTCACCTTGTTACATGCCAGATCCACATACTCTTGATAAAATATATCACTTCTTGAATTATTCTTTCACCTTATAGTACATCAGAATACTATACACATGATAAGCATTTCATATTTTGTAGTTCAAATATTCAATATTTTCCTTGAAAAACCAAAAATACTGTATTTCACAGATTCATGTTTGTGATCCAATGTTCAACAAATTTAAAAGTTTGGGTAGATGGATCTACTCTTGTAAAGGAAGAGAATCAGATAACAAGGCTCTACACTTTAGTTATTTGAAGGTTACTGGCAATCATATAATGAGAGTCTTAAAATTAGCTATATATCATATTTGATTTTAAAAAATTGACTTAATTATGGCCCAAAATGATAAAAATACAATGGAAAAAACCTTGAAATAAAAACACCCACATCTATGAAAATCTAAAGTTAAATAAAATGTTAAAGCTGCAAGTAACAGTTTAATATGGACCATTCTGCACACTTCAACCTTAAGCTGTTATCGCAAGTTTTTTAGTATGGTGAGGGGTTTCATAACTTGTCTCAGCTTTTCTGATCTTTGTGAATAAGTTGACAAATTGTCACCTGGAAATTTTGCTTGGTAAATATCAGGATAGGACCTCTCAAACTATGAAACAAAATAATAAATACAATCATGTTTGCTATTACAATCTTAGTAACACATGTTTAAAGCAGGATGGACATGAGTGATGTAACCTGAGTATAACAACTAATGACTTGTCTATTCCTCCTGTCATACTTCATTCCTCCTTCTCTCTTCTGTAACCTGCCCCTCCTCCCCCATTTTATCTCTGCTACAAACATTTACATGTTGTCATCTTCACCCTTTCCTTGACAGTAATGGCCTTATGCATCCCCTCCTCCCTCCCTGCTCCCCTCCTCCCAGGAACCCTAAGCTGCAGATTTACAGCCATGGAAGGAGTAGAAGATTTTCTCAAGTCTAACATTCATGTTTTGCTGATTGTTTTGGGTATGAAAATTTTTTCCACAGTCTTCTTTAGGGCCAGGGAACAAAATAAATAACTATTGTATAAAAAAACATACCAGTTTAAGTTGCTTCTTTCTTTCTTTTGTACTTATACTCTCATCCTCTACAATTTTGTTGAGTAGATCCTTAAGCGAACGTTGAGATGTAATCAAGGTCTGTTCTTTGTACTCTTCAGGGGTGACCCTTTGACAAAATGTTACTGTAGATGGCACAGTTGACTGAAAATATGTGAACAGAAATAATAAAAAATTCCCCCAATCATGTTAGAAGAATAATTGTTGATCATAACTCCACCTGTGAGCTGGCTCTCATCTCATCTCACTGTAGCAGTTCACTGTGGCACCAGTGTTTCCTTGCCTGCAAGAAAGTTTGAGTTCTTGGCTAAAGTGAGCTGAGGAGAGGTCCCAAACCCATACAGACATCTCATCAGCCCACCCAAACTTTCTTATGAGCAAAGAAACACACATGCTGCAGCACCTACAGGGGACCTTCTTATAGGCTAACTATAACTTGTTGACATAACCATTTAATATGCATGAAGCAAAAACACACTTTGCTTTGTCGACAGTTCCTCAGAAACAAGAGCCTCTGTTCCACTTGAAATTCAAGCCCTTCAGGGTTCTGGAAAAAAAATATTAGCAAACATAATACAGTCTGTCAACAAATGAAACTTTTACAAGAGCTTGGAAAACTTCTAATGAACAGTAAATCTGAGTTGAACTTGTCATAAAAACCACCAATGCGAAAAACTTGAGACACCATAGATGTAAAGTAGTTTTTCTCTTTTTGGGACCAAAAATTTCAAGAATTTCTTGCAAGAGTCTATAGCAGATAAGTTCCATTTTTTTATAAGAAAAATCACAAATTAAAACAAGCTATCTTTCCATAAAGGTAGGATTCAGCCTTAGCAAGGTCTTATTCTGTCATTTAAACTCTAGCTAATAGAGTAATGTTGTGTGTACAGTCCTAGTCCTAGGTGAATCTCAGCTGAAATGTAAATGTTGCAGTAAGTTATATCCTTGGCACTTACCTTGAAATATTCTGGAAACTTTTCCATCATAAAATACACAAGCCGTATGGCATCCATGTCTGCAGTTACACCAAACACAACATGGCTAAAGGACTGGATAAGCTGTCAATAGCACAATAAAATGCCGCTGAAATTCTCCATAGAGAATCAGTGTCTTAAACCCTAAGCAATAACAAATGTATCACATGGTCACTGTATCACTGTCTC